GAATTTTTTGTTTGCTCCTTTTGGGGAGCCCCTAGCGACAGGTGTGCGCGCCGCCAATGGAGACTTTTTGGGCCTTTATGTCTATTACGCACATGAAAATTTGAGACGGAAGAGAAGTTGGAGCAGCGAGCTTTCCCTCCCTTTGGAAATCCCCTAACCCCCGCTGGGTCTCTCCCCATCGGAGATATTTCACTTCACTTGGTCCCCCCCCCCCCCCCCCCCCCCTCCTTTTGCCTTCGAGGCTGCCTCCTTTTGCCCAGAGGATCAGAATGCCTGTCAGGTAAGTCCCCCATCCCCTCGTCCCGTGCAATTTGCAGGGCTTGTGTATCCTGACCAGTCACAAAAATGCCGCAGGTATCGATTTCATCACATGCAAAGACACCAGGAGGCCTCCTCGTGTCGGTGTGCGGATCGCGGAACCATGTTGGCCACAGTCGGACCGAATGCCAGCGGCGCAGCTGCAGCGAGGCATGCAGGTGACTAGCCGGACCCAACCGTGACCCATTCCTGGGCCCCACGCCCGCCGATCCGGCCGCGAAAACGATAACGTGGCCTTGCTGACGCGGCTGCCTTGGCTTTTCCCGACGGCGGGCCAGATGGGGTCTGAAAAGGAGGAGCTGATTGGCGGAAATGACAGCGCGTTTCAGACGGTTCGGGGAGAGACGGGGAGATTCTGCCTTGCCATGGGCGGCGCCAGACATGGGACGAAAAGGAGGAGGCGCATACAGACAGATGCGGAAGGCGTTCCAGGAAACGACAGACCAACCCCCGCTTTGGCTGAGCCGATCTGGACAACCTTTGGCGATATCACGGATCATGCGGCCTCAGGTCAAGGGCTGTGATTCGTGGCGATACGATATCCTACGGCGTCCCCTTTTTCTCGGGCTCCTTTCCATCTCGGCAATGGCATGATTGGCGGAGACACAAGGGACCGGTGAATCGATATCGTCTCTCCCCGTGCCGAGGCGTTTCACCCGAGCACATTTTTCTTGCGAGCTGGGGTTGGGAGGCTGGCGAGGATGGAGAGGGAGCTGGAGGTAGGGTCCGACTCCTTGCCAATTCAGCGATCGGGTCCGCCGTTCCTCGACACAGATATATTTTGCTCGTTTCCCGACACCCCAGGAATGCGAAGATGACCAACTTGCACACCAAACACTTCTAGGAACCATTCTTCCCAAACCCTTGACATATTCTGCAATTCACCAACGCGCAGTGTTACAAGCAGCGAGATGGCAAGAGTCTGCCTCGACAAGCAGGTCTTTTACAAACCCCCTGTGGCAACAGGCCCTAGCTCCGCGAATCGCGGGCCCCTCGCCCGGAAGCGAGGCCTTTCGTCTGCTGATATATTTGCTGCCCCAGGGGGAGTGGTGTAAATGGAGTGTGTTGCACCTGGAAGCCACAAGGCTGTCGGTTCGAATCCGGCCTCCCTCACCCTCTTTCCGGTTTTTCAGGATTGGTCCCCTGAAATTCCGGAAAGAGTCACACTAACCAGAAGGAAACCCCGAGGAATAGCCGTCGTCTCGGAGACACAGGGACTGGGCCCCCTAGCGTCGCACACCGATCGGCAAAAAACCTGTGCAGCTCACTGCAGGATAAGAACTATGAGCCGTGGGAGCTGGGGACCCTGACGGGAAAAAAAGACCCGGGGCAGAAGCAGAACTGCCTAGCAAAATACTGCCAGGGAGCCCCCCTGGAAGAAAAACTGAAGCGAGAGGGAGACGGAAGGGGGAAGGAGAAGGAAGAATCGATGACATCCCTGGAACCAATCACATCCCGACAGAGGGGGCAGGTGGGGTTGGAGAAGGCTGGGGGATCCGTAGTATGAAGGAATCTGATTGAAGGACTTTACCGTAGTATGTAGGTTTTCATCCGGCCCTTGGGGCACGGTTTCCTATGTAACCAAAAAATCCGTAGAAGTTCCGGCACGCCCTAGGGCATAGCGGTGTAGGAAAATATATATATACTGAACGACATCCGACGTTACTTTCCTTTCCTTAGGCTCGACCTAACCACAAATCCACAAAAAAATGAAAATAAAGTGAAATTCCAGTTCAAGCACCAGCTTAAGAGCCAGAGCAAGCAAAACCACATCCAGCACCAAAACACTCAACCCCCCCTTACCCCCCCTTCTCTCCCCTCCTTACCGCCCCCCGTACCATCAAGCACAACCCAACAACAACTTCGGCGCCGCGCTCGATGGCTCATCCCGCGCAACCTCCTCCTTGGGCGGCTCCTCTTCGTCGACATACTCGGTGTCGCCGGCGGGCCGGCTGGTCATCCAGCGCAACAACAAGAAAGCATCGGGCGGGGGTGTCGGCCCGCGCAAGTCCAGCTGGCGCGACTGCCGGAGCACCAGCTTGTGCGCGTTGGTGTCGAAGTACACTTGGGTGATGCGTGCCCATTGGTCGCGCTCTATGGTGTAGATGAGGCCCTGTGGGATGAGGGAAAGGGGGTGGTTAGTGGTTTGGTGGGTTTGGGGGGTGGGTTGGGGGTGGTGGGAATTACCGGTTTGGTGTGGTGTCCGGTGTGTTGGCCTTTTTCGAGCCGAAATCTGACCAGCTGGATGGCGTAGTGGAGGTCACTGCGGAGGACCTTATCCCCCGGGGGGTGGTTCGAATCGATGGCGAAGCAAGCTACGTGGGGTTTGGTCCTGTCGACGGGGAAGTAGACCGCCTCGGGTGAATACTCGCGCTCTACAAAATCATCGGTTGCCGGGTCGAAGATTCTGAACCGACATAGGGGCAGGTCAAGTCCACTGTGCTCCCTGATGGTGTATGAGTCCACTCTAGCCATTGTGATGTTAGTATCGGATGCCCACGGAGGTGGATTGTAACAGATAAAAGCAGCTTACACCCAGGGTTCCCATAAATCTTTATCCATTTCGTACAGGTCTTCGAGACAACCATTGAACCACTGAGCCTTGAGCTCTCCGTACTTGCTTTCTGGCTGTTTATACCATGTTTCTCTGATCTTGTCCTTCCACGACCAGGGTGCCCGGTTCGAAGCAGCTTCGTCAAGGAGCTCATCTGGCACCCACGGTTGAAAGAAGCGCGTGTCGGAACCCCAAAAACTTCCGCTGTCGTCAATATCGAGCGGTTGCCCAAGGACAACACCCAAAGAATCCAATGTCGGTTGGTCAATGACACACGCATTAGTGGTTAGATGATCAAACTTCGCTTTCATTTCGGAAATATCGCGCAGCTGTTTTTGTTCAACCATGGCCCGACGAAGGTTCTCCGTCGTCGCTAATTTCGCTGGCATCGCGGAAGGGCGGAATGGAACCAGACAATGAAGGCAACGTGTGGTGCAGTGTGGTGGTTGTGTTTTGGAAGGTTGATACCTTCGCTTCTCGGAGTGTTGGGGGACAAACCGGAGAAGATTTGGGTGGTTTATGGTCTTGCGATATTCGTACTGCTCCTTGTTTGTTTTCAGCGGTCGGCTGCCTCGCAACAACCGAGCAAATAAAGAGTGACAGCGCACCGAAATGCAGGTGTGATTGGTTGGTTGTAAGTGGTCAGTGATCATTTATGCGGCCTTGGAATGGGCCAGGTCTGTGGGCGTGATTGTCGGCCCAGTCCAGGCATGAGCCAAGCAGATGTGCCTGGCCAGGATCCATTACAAGGATAAACAAACCAGAGCGAAAAGAGCATCCAAACTGAATTTGATATCATAGTCTATGGTAGGTACATATAAAACGCAAACGCAAAAGGAAAAAAAAGCCAAAAACAAAAAAAGCCAAAAACAAAAAAAGCCAAAAACAAAAAAAGCCAAAAACAAAAAAAGCCAAAAACAAAAAAAGCCAAAAACAAAAAAGCAGAACGCGGAAACAAAGTGTCGGAATATCTACGCCAGAGTTACGTCCTCGCAGGGGGACGTGACGGAGGACAGGGGTGATCTGCCGCTGGGGCAGTCGTCACGTGGTCTTGGACCTCGGGGACGACAACCCCGGCTGCAAAATCTGCCCCCGCCTCATTCCACAGAAGAAATGAACATGATCCAACTGAACCACCAATGTAGCACGTCCCTCCAGAGAGAAGGGATTTGCCCTGTGTTTCTAACGCTATCGCGATACCTGGTATTCCCTACACAAAGGAAACTGTGAGCCACAGGCCCAACAACCAACCTAAACCAACTTGAAATGTTGATTACTGGGGTCGGCCGCGATCGCCCGTGACCGACGAGGCACGACTACCACTGGTGGTCGAAGACGCACGACTAGCTGTTGCCGACGTGGAGCGGTGTCCGGTGGCAGACGAGGTGCGCTGACCGGTAGTCGACGGGGCACGACTACCAGTGGCACCATTCTGGCTGGCCGATGGAGCCTGGTTGCTCGTCGTGGATGAGGAGCGGCCGGTGGCGGACGGGGCACGACTGCCAGTGGCGCGATCACCGGTAGCCGACGGGGCACGACTGCCCGTGGCGCGATCACCAGTGGCGGACGGGGCACGACTACCGGTGGTTGACGCGGGGCGGTCACTAGTGGCCGCCGGCCCGCGGTAGCCCGTGGTCGATGGGCGGCGGGTGCCTATGACCAACGGGCCGTGATGACCGGTGGTCGACGCGCTGCGGCTGTTTGGAGGTGAGGCCGCCCTGTTACCGTATAGCTCCAGCATGAAGCCCAGAAGGCGACGAATGAAATTGCTCATGTTTTCAGGGTCGTCGGTTCTCCAGGGACCAAAGCGGTGCATAACTAGGACCCGTCAACCGTCGGAAGGTCAAGGGCCGCAGTGGTTGATCGTGTCACTCGCCCGGTACCAGGCGCCTGGCCAGAATTGCCCGAGTCGCTTCCGTTGCCACCAGGGCCTCCAGGACCGCCGTTGCGAGATGTAAGTGTGGCTTTCACCCTACCCATGGCGTTTCCCACAACCTTCTTATCCCATCCTTGAATATCGACGATGCCTTGCTGGGCAAGCTGCTTCAGGAACGTGGGAGAACCGAGCGTTTCTTCGAAGTCGCGTGCTAACCTGGCTTGGGTGTGTTGCAGGGGCGCCGGTTTTGCGATGGTCTCCTTCGGGGCCGTGCACCTCCACGGAGCGTTGCGGATGTACTGCTCATAGCTGGGTCCATACTCCCCGATGATGATATAAATCTCATTCAGGTTTTGAGAAATCATCAGTCGTCTAGAGTATGCAACGTTAGCGGAGTATCCGTTCGGGGTAGATCACTTCGCCATACTTACCGCTTCTTCCCGCTGTTCGAGTTCTGCAAAAGGCCTTCGTTGAGTGGGTGGCTGCAAATCCAGGCGGCCATCTCAGCGGCTTCCTGTCTCTCAGTGGAGATTTGGATCGACCTCCTCGTGCCCGACTTGGCCTCGCAAATGGCCATGGGCTTTTCCCAACTGGGTCCAGCTTTTCCGCGACACAAGTAACCATCCACCCGTGCCTCCAGCAACAACTTGTTGTCGACCGTGTGTGTGGCAGGGTTGAAAACGGGGACTTTCAGGTGCAAGGCCAGGCGGGGTGGGACCCAGTGCAAATCAGAGAAATGCTTATGAAACTCCTGTGCGATTGCCTGCAGCAGCAGGAGCAGGGCAACATTCACATACGACTCGTCGGCGGATGGAGGGTTGTCGGCGCCTCCCTTGGCGGCTGGATGCGACACTGCCGCCGGCGTCCGGAAGTCTGAGGGGGTATTAGGAGGGGGCAGAATCTGGCGGGGAGGTGTAGCCACGGTTGACGGCCCACCGGAACCTTGTTGCTCGACGGGCGTTGTCGGTCGGCCTCTTGCATCCTCCTTCTCGGCTTGGGATTTGTCGGTTTTCGGGCCATCCATTCCACTGCCCTTGGTGTGCGTGGTAGCCATGACCTGCCAGTACCGGACCATGCTGAAATACCCGCATTCGGGTGAAGGATGTAGGTAAGATGGGGCGCCAACATCTCTCAGGCCCTCGTTCAAGTACGCAGTCAGGTACGAGGACCTGTTTGACTTTGAAACCAACTCCCGCGCAAGTTGGTCGTTGTGAGGGGATACGAATCCCTTGTAACCCGTTTGGTCATTGTCTCGGTACAAATCCGCAAAGTCGTCAATATGATTGTCACAGTTATACCGGTACCAGATCGTGCGGAGGTGAAGGTACTCAGTGTGGGTGATGCTGGAACCTGAGTTGCTAAAGTTGCCGTGTGATATAGCCAGCTCGTTGATCCGACCCGGCAGCTTGACTTCAGCGCGGATTTCGTTGTTGTTCCGGATTTCCTGGGCCCATCTTTGAACGGTAAAGGCCACGTCGTTTTGCTTGTTGGCGGCCATGCCTGTGGACATTTATTTGAGTGGTAGAGAAACAAAATGTGCTTGGAAAGTGAGAATGATAGGTGTCGAATTGTAGTCGATCCAGATCTGACAGCTGCTGTTGTTCGAAAACTGAGACGCCAAAACGGGGAAATTTGCCGCTATTTATCTCACCGCGTGAAACAAGGTCAGCCATCAACCGGACCAAGGACCAACATGGCCATGAAAAACAACGCTTTCCGGGTCACCTCAGGCTACGGCGTTCACATTGGGCTCATCCCATACTCACCTTAGCGGCTGGACAATGGGTTTGGAGGCGGCACAGTGGACCACCCCTAGGTCCCAAGGGTGGCCCGGCCTACGGCGTGGAGCTCAACTTCAGACAGTCGATGTTGGGGGATCGACCAACTCAGTATCGGTAGGTCGGGTTTCTGGACTGACTCCTGAACTGGGGTAGGGAGGTGGTTCATGCCCGGGCCATCAGCGGCGCGCACCGCCATGTACCTATATGTTATTGTGATTGAAACTCTGGTTCGCGAGGGGGGGAGGGGAGGGGGGGTTTGTGAGCTGTGAGTTGTCAATACTACTGGGGCTTTTCGACCGTAATCCCCAATGTCATCCACGGTTTGTCGGTTGCAACTTGCCACCTTGAACTGGTCCCGGCGGTGCAATCTCGTCGTTTGTGCGGTAGCAGGCTGCGCCGTGAGCGGTTGGTGTGTTGCTTCCAAGCCCTTCTGTGCATGTACTACATGTTTCAGAGCGAGACAATAGGCCAACATCAAGCACTCAAATAACGACCATGGTGGGCTGCAAGGTTTGGGGCAGTCTCAGCTCGAGACCTTTCCTGTAAGAAACACGAGGCGGCGAGCCATGTCACCATGGCTAAATTTAGAGGCTTTGTTGGTTGGGTTGCCGTCCCAAAGCCTCGGGACCAAGCAACGCATTGGATTGGACGGTGCCCACAACACCTTCACTATCAGCCCACGTTGGAGTTTGAAGTTGGGGCGTGTGCGGGCCCGTGGCAGAAGCGAGTTGTTTGAGACAAAACTGCTGGAGTTGGAGGGACCATGGAGGGCCAGGAGAACCAGGAGAACGCCAAGTTTTCCTTCAGCTCAGGGGGAGTCACCACTCCCGGGTGATTGAACCCAAAGGCACAGTATCGTCGCCTCAATCTCCCATCAACTCGCAAAGAAACCCACCCGCCAAAAACTATTGAAACAAAGCAACGTGGAAGTTGAACGCACCCGGGCTGAAGTCAATCGAAAGTGTGCCATTTTGCCGAGTTGGCTCCTTTAAGAGACAGGAGATAATACAAGGGCGGAAATCCGCTGGCCCCTGATATATTACTGCCCTATGCTTATATTTGACTATCCAGTGTCTAAACTCTTTCTATTCTTAGTTATGGCAGCGTCGAGCGGGTGGGTGTGTGGTCTGGGGTTGTGGCTTGAGAGTCACTATAACCAACCCTATTAGCTGGGACCAACGATGGAAGCTAACCCTTGACGCGGGCGCCGTGGAGTGGAAATTCCGCTGCGGCCGCACAAGTCTACAACGGCTATTTCGTAGTGATGACTTGTTAGTAGCGCCGAAATCATTAATAGCCTGGTACCTCATCCCTGGATCCTATTCCCATCCCGGCCACACTTTGCCCTGTGAAGTTGGGAGCATTGTGGTTGGCTGGGCTTGTCTACGGATTATGATACAGTGGCGGCTATCGTCTTCCGTACTTGTCGAGGCCGACCCACAGCCAGACGACTTCGGCTGCGACGGATCACTCTTCAGTCATGCATTCAAGGTCGCCCTCGTCTTCATATTATTCACCAAACCCCACCTGGGTCGGCAGTTAGTTGATCACCCCAGCGGCGCGGCCTATTCGCTTCAAAAAAGCCGTGACGAAGCAGAGGGCGACGGTAAAAACTGGGATTGAAGGGGGTCATATAACTGGCCATTCCCATTGTTTGATGGTGATGACGAAGTTGGCGATGCCAGCTTTTACCCCTGATCAAAGAGTCAGCGAGAGCGTTTTGTTGAAAATTTGAAATTAGGATTAGGGCCAGGATGGCGGCAGTAAACTGAAGTACGGGTAGGTACCTTATGATCAAGTGCCGTCATGCCTGTTTACAGGTAGGCACACACGGCCCAAGAAAAGGCTGGGGGCGACTCGTCAGCGGCCAGGAGTTCAGAGCCACTTGTTCTTCAACTCCGAACCATTATTTTGTACTCCACTGCGCGACCTTTCAACCCGAAAAACGCTTCACTCTTTTGTTCAGTGACCTCTGTTGACTGGAGACATCTCACAACATTTGTGGACATGACTAAGACTCCAGTCACTGGCAGTTATTCTTGTGTAGAAGTCTTCATAAGCGTCCCAATCTCTGTTTGTCTATTTCTCCGCAAAGCGTATCCAGAAAACTTGTCAGAGAGGAGACTGAACAGTGCACGCGGTCAGCCTACGTATCCGTCGTTGTATGAGTTCAGAGTTTTCAGCGCCTCCTTCAGCGCCGCCAGCTCGCCCTTGTCCTTTTCACGCTGCATGGCATCCGACGGCCTCTCCCCCGCGATCTTCTCGAGCAGTGACGCTTCTGCCTCGACAATGTGGGCCTGCGTGAGGATGGCGCTCGGCAGCTCGTTCAGGATGCCATTTTCGACTACGAGGGCATTGACGTAGCCGACAAACGCCATCATACTCGTCTATCCGATGACCCGAGTCAATATAGCTTTTCTCTTATTGATTCAAAGGAAAGGGGGCGAACCACGTTACTCACCTCGTAGTACATGTCAACGTTGAGGATCAAGCTTGCCGCATGTTGTAAGTTCATCTTCAAAACGCGCTGGGTTTTGGCTCCGTCCCCTGTTTCAATACCGTGAGCCACCCTCTCGGTCAGCTTGTCGAATAAGCGGCTCGCAGCCTCAACGCCACGAAGCAGGTCTGGTCGAATAAGTCCGGCGGTCAGCGACACGACCAAATGCTGGCTTACCAAGCCCGCAAACTTATCTAGTACTTTGCGCGAAATATCCGAGGCGTTGAGGCCACCCAAAGGCACCAGATTCTCCGCCAACCACATGTTCAACGATTGAAAAACTGGACGTAGACCACGTGAGACGGTGGCTGACTGTTGCCGTATATGGTGAGCATCAAGGAAGCCGTCGTAAAATCCAGTATTGCCCCTCGCATGACATTGAAGAACGTTTTTCAGGGTGCAAGCCGCCGTCATTTTCAGCAATTTGAGTTTTGGGTCGACGATGTGGGCGCGCAAGGCCAGACGGACATGCTCGTTAGGACAGGCGGCGGCGAGGGCAACCTGGATAAACTCGTCGACAAACCTCCAAACCGCCGCGAGGTGCTGCTCGGAAATCGCCCCCCACTTGCTAGACTGGTGCTCAAAGAGGCCGTGGTACGACGTCTCACTTGCCGCGCCGCTGGGACCGCGCCCCCCCCAGTAGACACTTTGCGTCGCCACCCATATTTCGAACGCGCCGCGCTCAACAGCATCTGGTACGGCGGGCGTGTAATACTGCTCCAAGATAGCTTGGGTCGGAAACGTTTCCGCAACCTCTGCCTCGCTGCCCTTGCTGGACGGGCCATCTGCCTCGGAGCCGTCTCGGGACTCGTCTCGGGCGGCACCGCCCCCGCCGTCATTGCCTTCATTCTCGCCCTGGCCACCGCCGGCCGTGGCTTCCTCCCCATCTTCGCCGTCGCCGCTGTCATCCGAGTCTTCTGCGTCGGATTCGTCCCCTTCTCCCATAATCACCGTAGTCTTCCCATACTTGCCCATTGTGGACGCAAAGGTCCTATTGAGGGCCCTAACCGTGGCACGCAGGTTTCTGTCTCCGGCCTCGCTCGCCTCACTCCCATATGCTGGGAAGAAGTGTTTTTCGCAAGTCTCACCGACCCTGTGCGGCTCCTTACAGTTATTTTGGTAGATCCCCAGGCACGCCTGCTGCATATATGTCTCAAAAGCCTTGGCGATGGCGTGGAGATATTGCAGACGAGCCCGATCCGTGTTTCTCCCCTCGCCGTGGGCCACTACTCGGGCATTGGCTCGCCCGATTCTGGTCTCGACCTCAGAGATAAGGCTAGGAAGAGAGGTTTTTGTATGGAGCCAGAATCCCTCTTTGATGGTTGCCTTGAGTGCACTGATGCCCCTCTGAGAATCCGGCACGCCCCGCCAGTCCGGTTCGTTGCGGAAGAACTCCGCCTCCCCGGCATCTCTTTGCTCCAAAGTCTCGGCCCGCTTGTCTTTATCCTGGTTCTTGACCACGTGCCATCGCAAGATCTTCAAGCCAGATGAGGTAAGAGACCCGTTCAAGATCCTCACATATTCCTCGTGAAACTGGACGCGGTCGGGGTTCGTAATCACCCCTATCACCCGGCCCGCAAGACCCGGGTCGCTCTTGGCAATGTCTTGAATGAACCCGGGTGCGAGCTGGCCGTGCAAGCTGCCCCCGGCGTTAACCACGAGCAAGACCAGATTTCGCTTGTTCTTTACGTGCTCCTTTGCAAGCATCTCCACTGTTTCCCTGCCCTCCTCGCCCTGTTCGTTGCTCGCCACCCGGAAGATACCGGGTAGGTCGATGAGGTTGACCAGCGGCAGGTTCGGTCCCTGTTTCTTGACGACCAAGACGTCGTCGGTAAAGCCTCCGGAGACACCCCCACCCGTAGGTGACGGCAGCACTCCCAGCTCGCGGGATGCCTTTATCATCAACTCGGCAAACCCGTCCGAGCTTGAGAGCCGCTCGTGGAACTGAAGCAACCTTGTCCGGTCGGCGTCAGAGCGCGACTTGCCGGGCTCGATCGACAGCTCGGTCCGTTCCGTGACGGCGCGCCGCATGATGAGCTTCGTTGGAAAGCGAGTGCAGAGCCCGGCATGGACGGGAAAGTGAAAACGTCCAATGGCTTCGAGAACAGAGCTCTTCCCGCAGCTCTGGTCGCCGACCACAACCAACTGAGGTGGCTCGAGGCGTTCAGTGCCGCCGAGCCGGGACAGCTGGTCGAAGACGTCGAACAAGGCGACTTGCCGTTCGTCGATTAGGTCCTGGGTCCCGTCCATCCTGGATTGAGCCCACTCCGTGGAACCGGTATTGCTGGCGTTTATGACCTCGGCGGATTGGTCGAGGACGATGCCGTTCATGGTGGCGGCAAAGGGAGTTCAAGGAGGTTGTTTAAGAGTTAATTGGTAACTCTGCAGACAAAAGAGGAAACTGGGAACTCTGAACGGATGAAATAATAGGACGAGTGTGAAGGGGGGTTGGGGATACGGGAAACATCATTGTGAACGGGGTCTTTGCTGTGATATTTGTAAACGCAAAGGGAACCCCTCCCCCCCCCCCTTCTCGAGCTTGCCACTATTGACAGAACGAAGCCTTGTTGGATTGAAACCCTGGACCGGTGCAAAGGTAGGGGAGGTACCTTGTCTCGAGCAGCCCCGCCACACGTGGTCCTATGAGCGGTCTGTCATGCACGATGTGTGTAGGACACTCAACATGCGGACCACTCATACCGAGGATACCGACACGGGAGGCCAGGAAACTTAGGATCGGACCACTCATGGTCAATTGGCAATCTTTCGTGTTGCACCATGCCACAGCCCCGATGTTGGGCAGCATCCATTCATAAGACGCATTCGTCAACAAGACTTTTTGAGTCTGCCTCCCGAACCAGCTCAATTCAAGTTCCCAGGCAATCCGCCACATCATGTTGCATCTGAAACTGTTTGCCTTCCGAGGCCATCTGAGCTCGTAATCCCAACTGAGTAACAATACAATATACACGGCCACACGGTTCAAAAGGCCCAGGTCGAGCATAAATAGATGCCCGATCAACTGGTTCTGTATTTCATTGTTCACCAATGCTTCGCTGCCTTCTCGCCACCAATACATACTCAACCATGCAATCCGAATTCGACCGAGTTCCCGCCTTCGATGACTCCTTTTCTCAACAATTACCTTTCATGATGGCCGACTTGACCTCCTTTCTCATCCATCCTTCTCAGTCTTCCACTCACCCTGACGCTTCCCTCATGGCCGGGCAACCACTTGTCTTTGGCCAGGACGGCTTCCCTGCAAGTCTCATGAGCTTGCAGGCACAGGGGAACCCACATTCCAGCGGTGCCACACACATCTCGCCAGCCCTTTTGACTTTTCCCTCCCACACTCCCTCCGCCGGCACGTCAACCGCTTTTCCATCAATCAGCTGTGTTTCCCAATTGTTTCCTGTTGGTGACATCAGTACGGTCAACTTTCTCGATGTTGCTCACAACACCGGTGGGGCTTTGTTGAATGCTGAAGTGGTTGATTCTACCATCACCAGTGCACCCATGGAGTTTCTGCGCCCTCGTGAATGTTTTCACGGCAGCCCGCGGCCCTCACTTCCGCTCATTGATAGTTCAGTCGCTCCCCGTCCCAATTCACAAGTCTCAATCGATGCAGCCCCGATTACAGCCGCTCCCCAAGCTACGAAGCAACAGGGGCGCGCCCGTCAGCTCGACCCGAGGGTCCCCCGGCCTCCAGCGGCAAGAAAGACGAAAGAGCGTAGAGCTGGTGCGACACAACCATCCTCGAGCCACCCGCACGCGGCGAGCAAACAAGCTCGAATCGACTGGACTAAGTGGACAGAGACCATCACCCACTTCTACCTTGTCGAAAACCATACGGCGAAGGAAGTTTCGTTCGAGATGTGGGCTTTGTATGGGGAACAGGTTGCGTAAGTCCCTGCCAGCCTTTACGCCAGTCTGGTCACTCTTCTATATCGCCTGGGAGAAACGCTGACGTCCTCTTGTCCGGTATGGCCGTGATTGCAGACCGAGAACCTTGTTTGGACGTTTTATCAAGAACCAGAGAAGCGACGAGGAAGTTGAGCCCCAAAAGCGTGTGCGAGCGGCAGGATCCCTGAACCACGCAAAGGGGGCCCTCTCTGCCTTTCTTTTCACCGCCAACAAACGGTTAATCGCAAAGTTGCGTCAAGCTCGTATCAGTCCCAGGCCATCTAGGGAAAAGGAGCCATACGCTTGCCAGCACGCCATGCTCCATGCCATCGACTGCCTTGTCAAGAAATCCTTCGACACATCCAGGTCAAACGCAGCCGCGACTTTAACCGCTGAGGGTTGCTCGCCCTCGTGGCAGCTGGTGTCCGACAAGTGCGACGGCCTCGTGGCAGTCATTTCTGGCCAAGCACCGCTGGGCAGCAAGATACTTTTCCTTCTGGGCCAACTGCGCCAGGCGCTCGACCGCGCGGTTTCCACCGCTCACCAGGATCCAGGATTCCCGATTATGATCTGGCGAACCTGTATGACCCTGCTAAGGGTGCGGTTTCCCGGCCGGACGAGTGCCAACCGTTCCATCTTCCTCCGGGTGTTCCTCCATTGGCTGAGAAGCTCGTTTCTGGCCACGCTGAAAAACCCAGCAGACAATTTGCTTACTTTGGTCGAGTGTTTAATCCGCGTGATGAATTCTTCGGAACCGTACCATTTCATTGCGACACTTGGCATGGGCTGCGGGAAGACGATGGACATGGTCGCGGGGATGGTTGGCCATGACCATCCCGTGTTGCTAACCATGGGAACCTCGTGTGCCAGGTACTGGAAGAGGGATTTCTCCATCAACCGCAACCAGTTTGAGAGGCAGTACAAGCCACTGGTGGATCGAGTCGTCAAGAGCCTCCGGCCTACGCGGGCAGATATTGCCGCGCTCCACGCCTACACGCAAATCCAAGCCGACAGCAAGGCGGAGACAACTGCTTGGTATGCGGCGCACTTGCGGATTCACACGCTGGACTCTTGTCGCACGACTTTGGAGCGGAGGTCTTTAAGATATGGCCAAGCCGCCCGCGGGCTGGCTTTCTCGAGCGAACTTCTCGTTGTCTGCCAGCTGGACCCAGTAATGGGCAAAGCCGACGGCGGATTTGACCGAAACAAGTTTGGGGACGCGCTCCAAGCTGTGACGGAGACGATCGAGGTCCTGCGCCAGGGCAATCTAGACTGCCTGGTGAGCGCTGCCCACCTTTCTAAGCGGCTGTCCATCTGGTACAAGTCGTACTACCCCGGGGACACGATTAAGAGCAAAAGTCACCGCCTTAAGGGTTCACAGACCACAGACGAAAAGAAACGGACGGCCGCAATCATGGCCCAGATTGGGGAGCCGCCGGTTGCGCTTCCCAAGTTCCGTGACCCTAAGCACAGGCCCAACACGCGGTGGCGCCGGAAGAGACTGGCCGACCACCAGTTTGTCCTGTCGGAAACCGCAGCGGAGGGCCGGATTCAGGACGCCAATAGCGTGGACTACAAGAGTCTGTCTCCCGGCGACGAGCGGAGGCAGAAGACCAAGACGCCAATCCAGGCCGAGGCAGAGCAAGTGCCCTGGATCCGCCGGAGGTGTTGGCATTGCACAGAGACGTTCCCGTCGCGCACCGCCCTGTTCCGGCATACTAACAAGGGCTGTGCTGAGCGGCATCCGTGGGCCATGGACTAGATGAGCAATCTAGAAAGGTGTCAGAATACGGGATTCACTAGTCCAATCAGGAAATCAAGTATGGTTGTTTTCAGCGCTTGTTGCGGTGCTCCTTTTATTGTTGTTCGTTCGTGTCTTGCTCAGATCCCGACATGTGGGTCCTGTCCGGGTTTTACCCGTCGAGATGAGGGGTGGTGGTTAAGCTAAACATGCCCCGTTTACTTCATATCCGAAGCCTCCACCCCGATATTCTGACAAAAGGTCCCGCATTCCGTAGGTAACTTGAACTCGAAGGACCGACTAGGTACCCGGCACGGAAAGCGGGCTGTCGCTTTTTTGACCCATAGTGCGGATTATTGATCGAAATGCGTGATGTGTGGAAACGCGCGGAAAGGGCCAGCGCAGGGGTTTCAGCAAGGGAGTAAACTACGCTAATGCAGCTGATTCCTGTTTTGGTGGTCGATGAACGGCCCCGGTGGGATTCTAGAATCCACACCCGGTGTATACCTAGGTATGTATGCATTGATTTGATCCAATCTATGAATGGTAGGGATATCCGCACCCATGTGGCGGTCAACTGGAACTCAGCTCACCTTCGATCGATGAGAGGTTGGACTCACTAGATAACCGCTTTGACTGGTTTGGAAAGGATCGCTCTTGGCAAAAGGCGACGCTCTTGGCAAGCCCCTGTATGGCTGGAACCCGTCTGGACAGCTTCGCACACTTCGAAGGCCGTGTGAGTGGGATTTATTGGAAGACGCTGCGGCTGGGGCTTGACTCAATCTCACGGTGTGCGCTCAGAATCGATACGGGGGGTTACCGAAATGGGGTTTGTGTAATGTAGCGCAGGACGGCTGAGATGGAAGGTCTGAGCCCGGCCAAAGCTGATCGCGGCGGCAAGTTCCCGATCAATCAGTGGAAGTTCAAATTACTAAGTGAAGACGGTCCACAGCCCGACAATTACATGTGGGATTCAGACAGTTTCTCAAATCACAGCTAGACCTTGCCCAATACAGTTTTCTTCTACAGGCCGCGAAACCTCCTCGGTACAGTACTGGGCGAAGCTGGTGGGGGATTGAGTTTGTGCCGATGGCGGGCCTACCAGCAAGCGCGGAAGTTTCGCGGGCAAACCGTGCTTTGCGACGGACACCCTTACCTACAGCTATCCCTTCTCATCACCCTCCCAACCCTCCGTCAGCCTTGCACCTCACCAATAGTGAGGTTCAAGCTCCAGAGATTGCCCTACCATCCAAGCAAACGACCGGCTCCGACTATCCCTCGAAGTCCGACGTTTTGAGCCAAAGGCACAGGATCTTCCGCCATTCTGTCTTGCCGATGTGAAGCAAACTGCAAAGACTTTCCGCGAATAACTACATCGAGTGTAATGCGCGTAGTGGTCTTCAAGCGCCGGCAGATTCGGACGGTATGATCAAGGATGCGTTCGCTATGCTCGCGATACACTACGACTCGCTTGACTTAAGAACCACACTGGATTTTACTAATGCTCCTGACGAGAAGGATAAATATCCTGGACAGCGAGATTTCCTGCGGGAGATTATTTTCCTGTGATTTGCCATGCGTACGTTTCCTGGATGTATGAACCTTTTGGCCGTATCACTTACAGCATCGCTCCCAGGTTACGAGATCGAGTCGGCGTCGCTCTGCGGTGAGGAGCACTTGGGTATAAGCCTCGAATCTGGCCGGATATCAGTACCACGGATGATTGTCGCCCAATTTGACATTATCCGCCACGAGTACATCAAGGAGCTCGCTCCTAAAGTGCTCCAAACTCTGCAGGCCTTCGTCCTGTCATGCTACAAGGATGTCTGGTTCACTGTCTTCTCGGCCGTATTTCTGCTCCTTCACCAGGTCGCTTGTACGTCCCGAGATTACCCCCTTACAGGCTCTGAGGACGTTCGCCATGGCGGAGTTACGCCCCTGGCCCACTGGCAGTACTTCAAGCGTTGCGACTTTACGAAATCCAGTAATCTAGCTAGCTCAGCCTTGATGTCTCTTGAACAGGACCAGACCAAATTTCTTAAGCGGACTGTCAGCTGTCTTGAGAAAAAGCGTAAGTGTCTATATTAGTCTGTTTCGTTAAACAGGATTATCACGGTCAGGATCACCGTGGTAGGGGCAAGCTGGTATATTGCGTGGTTGCACGAGGAACCGAATGTGGGAGGCGAGGCGCACTCAGGGAAAACCCTGTGGCTGCGCACAGACCAGCGCAGAGCTACGTACAGCCCACCTCGGGGTTCAGCCGTGCAACCCTAACCCTACAAGGAACGGGCTGTGCCCGTGACAAGGATGCTCATTCAATCTAGTGCATTCGATTCCGGCAAACCTATCTGACGGCTGCTGGGAACACGAGCTGTTCGGGGTTTCTAAAATGTTTTTTTCCAGATCCTGGTAACTATTTCTTCATTTAACATGCAAAACTTTTACAAACTGCTAACTTGTGTCTAGGCTTCGAGAATTGCGACACCGACCGTTCCCTCTCAGTTCCTCCAGAAGAGCCAGTCTGACTCCGAGTCCGAGGGTGATGGCCTTCGGAGAGTGCCATCTCACCTGTACCACCTGCAGTTCATTTCCCGAAAGAAGACACGTTATAGCTAAGGGATGCGCCGACCCTACGGCAGACTACAGGTCCTCCGGCCGCCAGCACGCATGTTGCCAGCACCAGACGGAGGATCAGCACTATACGGAAGCTACGGGCTCCGCGTGAATTAAAGTGCTTGTTACCCTGCGCCTTCCAAGCCCGGTGCCGTTGTGATCAAGTTTCCGCCGCCACGCGGCTGGGATCCGTTCGTCGTTGGCTGGGAGAAGCACGATGTCGAGCACGATGTTAATAGCCTTGCTCCGGAAGAGATACGTACCGCGAGGCTCAGCCGGTCCCTGGAATTTCTCAACAATGCCGCTCTATTAGATGCCAAGTTCGTAATAACCACGGCAGTAGCGGTCAGAAATCTAGCAGAGAAAGCACAGTGCCTCGACTATCCCGACAACGCAGCGGCCAAAGCCCAGCTAACCCGCAGCTTCACCTACCAGCCGGTTGCCATCACCCAAGTCGACAGTCAGCCTATCAGCGACACGTACGTCCCCCCTCCCCGCCGTCGAACCCCCCACAAATCTGATTAACCGTCCCAGCTTCCTCCTCCGTTGCATCGCCGCCATCAACGCCTTCGGCAGCCCTCTCATCACCTTCGCCCACCTCACCTACCTATCTTAACCCCTCCGAACATCCCAAAGCTAGCTTTCACTCCTGCGGCATCTGGCCGCTCGCCTCATACCTCAACCACTCCTACCTCGGCACCGCGGCCCGCTCCTTCATCGGCGACCTTCTCATCGCGCGCGCAACGCGAGATCTCCCCCCCAACACGGAACTCACCTAGAGGTACCAGTCTCCCGACACGGACAGTAAGACGATAAGCGACAATAGGAGGACGATGCTTCAGCAGTGGGGGTTTGAGTATAACTACACGCTGTGTGCGGATGCGAAGAGTCTGGGGGATGGAATGGTGAGAAGAGGAAGGTGTTGGATTGACCCAGGTTCCACAGGAACACCCATTACGCGGCAGCAGAATAATAAGGACTTGATAACGCGGTGGGATATTCAAGACTTTCGAACTCATGCCACAGGGCCGCAAGCTCCTGTCCTGCGCCGCCACCATTGACGTTGGTGAGCACCTTCCCCTCGATATAACGCATCGTCTCGGCTTCTCTTCGATGCCTCTCTATCTTTGGGACACCGTCCGCGGGTGCCAGATCGCGGATCTGGACAAGTTCCAGGGTCTGGTGTCCAAGATCCATTCTCCGGAAGGAAGGGAATGGTTGAAGTTATTGCAGACCGAGAGGGAGGCTCATTTTCGGAAGCGTGACTGGCGTCTTCCCGTCGTCTTTGCTCCGGGCTTACCTTCCGTTCCAGATGCCCGTGTCCAGCAGGCTTTCGCTGCCGATAAAGCTTGGCTTCAGTGTCTTTTCTTGGAGAGCGCTGTTCGGGAACGGTCCAAGGACCCCACGTTCCTCCACGCTGAGTATCTCAAGAGTTGTTGGATTCGCCATATAGAACCTTCTGGCGGATACCACCTGTTGGAAAGTCATGGCACCGGAAACGGATAAGGTACCGGAAACGGATTCATGGAACTTTAGCAGCATAAAGACTCGGAAAACTACGGGTTAACTCTAGGAGACAAAGGAGAGATTTAGTATAAAAAGCCACTCGCTCTGAAGAACTCTGAGAGGAGGAGAAAAAGAGGTCAATCAATCAATTCTTTCTCCCCATCTTTCGGTCTGAATGTCGTTTCCAACAAGAGTTGCTTAGAGGAAGGGTTGCCTGTCCCGACAGATATGGTGGTCAACATCTTGGACGGGGAGATCGAAGAGGGCGCCCGACAGAATAGGTGGACTCTCATCTGTGGGTTTCCATCCAATGTGGAGTCTCTTGTCGAGTTCGAGAGAAAGGTCAGCCTTGTCTTGCCTCCGTCCGAGCTTTGCTTACCCCGGTAGGTTCAAAAAACAAACTACACAGTATTTTTGTCGAGGCCAGCAGGAGGTCTTGAACCGGACGTCGAAATGGTTAAACGCCTTGCGTTAGAGGAAGGATATTTCAAGGAGGTTAGCGAGGCTCCCACAATCTAACGACGAAATGCTAACAATCGTAGGTTTCCCCCAACGGACAACTCGATACTGTATACAGCTGGGCCAGGAACGCAGTCGAGGGCTTTGCCGAGCACTCTAAACAATAAGGAGCTTCTCTTCTCGCGGAAGTACGTGGGATTGCTAGTGATTTGGAACAAGTTGTGATCTTCGAAGGTGACAAGTACTTTCCCATACCTGCCTGTTTCCTGCAATGCGTGTGTGGCGACCTCATCCTCGCGCTTGACAGCACGGAAGAGCTCGACGATGCCCCGCACCGCAAGGGTCACGCTGTGGGCGTTCTACCGGTCTGCGATGTCGGCTTCTCGCACTCCTTGCAACGTTTGATGGTACCGGCAACAGGGAGCTCGGCGGCGGCAACAGATCCAGCTGCACCCCATGAGCGGTTCGCCGGGTCTCCCTTAAGAACACTGGGAGAGGTGGAGCCATCCTCATCTTTCCACGCAGCAACGCTCGAGAGCGGAGGCTGTGGTTTTGCCAAGGGCTGCCGTAGATGATGTCGCTCTTTGGAAAACGCGTTGCAGGAGGGATAGGTGAGGCTGGGTTTGTGTTTGGGGAAGAGATTTATCTGGGGAGGGCCGCCAATTGAGGAGGCAAAGGGGGGAAAGAACCCGATGGACCTCTATTGCTCTTGCTTTGAACTCTCCTAGGACTACGTTTCTATCCGATATTCTGCTGCTCCCTGCCTGTCCCCTATTGCCAGAACCTTCACACTCCTCCCTTCCCCGTTCACACCCGGAGTTTGACGTCGTGGACCCTCTCTACATGGTTTTTGTAATGGTTCAGGTGCTTGAACTCCAGCCCCTCCTTGCACTTTGGGTGGTTGCACGATATCTGCTTCACGCCGCTCAGCTGTCGTGCGTGCTTCCTGTCGAAATGGTCGTACATTACCGCCGGTCGACAGTACTTGAATGTCCTCTCCTCATGGGACAGCTTTTCATCGATGCAGTACGGGCATTGCTTCCTATCCATCAGGAGCGGAAAGGGATCTGGCCCGGGAGACTCCTTCACTGTGACATTGGCCTGCGTCTGCGCCCTCCGTCGGATATGGTTCCGCTTCACAGTCTCTCGTTTACCGCACAGGGCGACCATGAGCTCGGCCGCCTGGATACGGAGTTCAAGCAGCTCCGTAGAACTCAAGTTGTCCGGCTGGTTGCAGAGGATCTCGGCGAACTGGGCGCGCTCGGGGATCTGCAGGTCGATGGCCGGCTCGTCGTATTCCTCCTCCTCTTCCCCGTCAGTCTCCATGTCCCAGGTCGGGCGGTTGTGAAAGTAATGTTTCCGGTAACCTCGCTGGACGGCCTTCTTCCGCTGCTGCTCCTTAGTCGCGATCAGCTTGGTCAGCTCTCGAATCCTGGCCTCGTTCTCCGAGCCCTTGATCCGATACCGGCCGCCTTTCAGCCGTGCCCTCTCCTCCTTCAGCTTTTCGATCTCCGGATCGGGCGGCATCAGTTCCCAAACCTCATCGGGAACCATGTTTTTGCTCGCGCGAGGGTCGCGCATGAGGCCGATGTGCGAAAGCATTGCGAGCAGGCTGTCCTCGGTCGGCTCGTCCAAGAACGCGTTCTGGAGGTGGAACCCGACCTTCTCGTTGATATATGCGCTGTTAAAGGTGGCCCATTTCGGGTCGTGGCGCATCATCTGATCGCGGACGGCATCGGAGGCGTCGCCTACAGGCTGTTAGAACAAGGCTATTCTGGAGATGGAGAGGACGTACCGTTCGCTGCGTTGGCCGCTCCCCTGCGCCAGGCCTTTGGCTCGACCTTTTTCTCCTCTCCGGCGTCGAGCGACTGCCACTCCATGTCGTAAAGTAGCCTGTGGTACGGAAGAGGCTCATACTCCCGCTCGTCGGATTCTTCTTCTGCGATAGACTTGTCACGCTGGCGGAAAATAGGCCGCTTGAGCCATTCCTCTTTCCAGCGTAAGGCAATACACTTGACCGGTCCCCGGTTCTTGGCTTGGAAAACTTTTCTGACGTTGGTGAACTTCGATACGGCAAACGCGCGATCGTGTACTGCGAGGCTAACGATGATGCTGATGAAGCAAAAGATCAACCTCTTAGTAGGGGTAAAGTAAAAGATAGTCCTAGAGGAAAGATGGTTAAATCTAAGACATTAAATAAGGTGGCCACTTACGGCTTCGGCTTGTTGTCCATCCCTTTATGGTGCGCGAGTCTGATGTACATAACAAGCATGTCCTCGCCAGTTTCCGGATGGCATACGATCATCAGTAAAACATCCTCGTAACAGAGCGCCTTTGGGCGGCCACGATCCCCCAACTCTTGCAAGATCATCTTTTCCAGCAGCCTGGAATCCTCATCGGGCGCCTCGTCTTCGTCGCTAGGGATACTCGTAGCAGCGATCTGGGACAAGATCTCCTTCGTGTACTCGTCTTTGCCAGTCTTCGTCTCCCCGTCTACAAACTCGGCCGGCCGTGCTCCTGTGAAGGCAAGGCCGAGATAGCACCCCGGCAGTTGGATACGATGCCTCTCCCAGGGGAAGATGGCAGTGTCGTACCGGATATTGAAGGTCACCAGGACAAGCAAAGCGTCCACGTTCGCGACGTCCTTGCCGAGGATTCATGGCGCTCGTAGTTTAAACATGGCAACCAAGATGACATCGTGCCACTTGCGAGGCGCGTTAGCTATTACGTTAGTGGGTAGGAGGCTGGGGGACGTACCTTCTTGATTTCTTTACTATCGTTCGTGTCCATGTAGCGGCCCGTGACGTTGGCGTATAGCTGCTTGTACTGACGGAAATACTGCCACGACGTGCCCCACGATGTGATCCGGTATGTTTGACAAAGATACTGGAGGAAACTCATCGCCGTCGCTCGGTTTGCGCCCTTGACGGCATTTCGCCAGTGTTCGAAGCCGCTGAATGTACAGTAGCTGTAGGTTCATTAGCACAAATTCCGATAGAATACGATGCAGGTGATCTTTTACCTCTTCCATTTTCGTAGGATGCCAACAACGTTGATCTTAGTCGCGTCGGCATAAGCAGGTGGAAGGAACTGAATGACCTCGAGCTGCTTGCGGAGAGCGGCATGTTGGTCGGCCGTGAGGGCCTTTGCCTGTTTCGCAATCCGGTCCTCGTGGACTTCTCGCTGTTTCGCGGTGAACTGCCTGACAAAATCGGCATTGCGGTCACGCGGCCGCGGCGGGCAACGTGCTGGCATAGCGATGGCGTTGAGTGTTTGGCGTTGGGTGTCTGAGGTTGTGAGTGTCTGGTGTTGAGTGTCGAGGGCGACCGGCTCTAGCGATGACGGTCGACATGCCGGGAACGAAGAGAAGTGCGAGGGACGCCATTTTACGCCTGGTTGGGCCGCTGCGCGCCGCTTTGCTGGGGAGCCGAAAATGGATGCCAGGTTGAAGAAAACGGATTCCTGGATTCCGGAGTCGATGCTTTCTTGAACCAACCGCCCAGGACGAGGACGCTCATTGGAGGGTGGAGCAAGGTGGGGTCGCTGGGTTGCCGCCCAGAAATTGGGGCGCTAATTGGGCGGAGCAAGGGGGTCGCGGATCTGCGGATGAGTTTAGTTGGAGCGCGGGAGGTACCAAGTACCTGGCTGTGACCCAGCGCCCGCACTGTCAGGGCGCCCGAAAATGGCGGCCCCGCCCTGCCAAATTCGGCGGCCAGAACAGCAAGTTTCATACTTAATCTGTAGTATCACGGGTGGAACAAATGGCAACTGCTGGCTGCTATGCAGGCGCTCCTCATTTATCTCATCTTCAAAGTAGATGAAGGCCAACCGGAGTACAATAGCCTCGATTCCCTGCTGGTTGCAGCTGTAGTTGTAGGTCAAGCCTTCTTCTTAATACTCTTTACCAACCACTCAGCTAACAGTACATGCATAGGCACTTGCTACACAACTTGGTGCTGTTGATGCGCCCGACAACGACTTGAATTCGACTTGGGAGGAATGGATCTTTGAGGAATCGAGACGAAGGTGAGACATTTTTACTCGTATTAACTTTGCGGGCACAGTGGCAACGGCAACGGCAACGGCTAATAATCAAACCATAGACTGTGCGTAATGTATCAAGTCGTGGACATGCTGGTCTATTTCGAGCCAGCGGGCATGTGCAATGTGCGGAAGCAAACGGACCTCGTCATCGCACCGTTGCCCGCCAAGAAGCGGCTCTGGGAGGCGGCGAACATGTTGGCATGGCAGGCCGAGAATGAGAAAGAGGAGGTTGAGGCCCGAGCCTCCTTTGCTCTGGCTGGGAGCGGTGACCTCGTCAGGATCGACCAGACCGAGCTGCAGTGCATCAGTGACGTGGCACGGCTGGGTTACACGCCCCAAGATTCTGGTGCTCCGGAACTGATGTGGCGCACTGCAGACTGGGATGACTGGTGCTCCGGAATGGATGAGTTTGGCGGCCTGGTTATGCTTGCTGCGTCCTTGACAGAATAGCCCTAGCAATTGTTCGATGTGGTAGGGTTGCTGCAAGTAGCCAAACTTCTCGCCATGTTGAAGAGAGGCTCTGAGTTATTCTCGTTGCCATTGAAATCCCAGAAACCGTAGAGTACTTCAATGCTTCAGGCTCGGGATGCTGCTTTGACTTGGTGTAACTTATTTCCAAGATTAAGTAAGGTAGCCAACCGTCTTCTTCTGGCCGGCTTGGTCTTGTAACCATCTGATTGAAGTCAATCAAAGTATGGTACCTAGGTGGGTAGGTACCTACATGTAGGTACTGAGGATGTTGAGGCTTCCGCAACCACGCGACCGAGGCATCTCAGCCAGGCCACGGAATCAACCAATCATAGTTCACTCGGCGGACGGATCGAATATCCCTCGTACCCGTTACCCCACCGGGTACCAGCTATTGGACCGCGAGGTTAACTGTTGATGATAACTACCTAGGTACCCAGGTACTTTTATACTCCCACAATTTTAGATTTCCCCCTCCTCCTTTCGTTTTCTCTAGCTCTAGCTCTAGCTTCGTATATTATAATTCATAGTAAAAATATCATAGTTACTGAAGTTTAAATATATCATGCGATCTAATGTAACCTTACCTGTCTTTCGAATCAATCCGCTGCTCTTCCCGATCCGCTACGTTACAAAGTACGCCTGAATGGTTTTGATATCCGTGGATTGAAGGTAAAAAGGTGTCGGTGAGTAGCAAGAGCCTCAATCTTTTGACGTTTGCTTTCGAGGGGTGAGTTAGAACTTAGGCGAACCGCCGCCCAACAGATCTGCGCAGCAGATTGAACTCCTGAGCGCCAACCTACCCACCTAGTAGGAGCTCTGATTCCTGCTTCGAGCTCGTCACACTAGGACAGGCAGCTTTGTTTTCTGAGTCTCGACTGCCCTATGGGACACGTTGCCCAGCCGGGTTTTGCGGCCCAAGTTCCCCTCATGATGGTCTTCTCTTTTACGAAAAGTTCACAGGTGGCCTTGCTGGAATATGTGCGAGATTCGGGAAGACCGAACCCAAAGGGTTTCGGGGTGCAGCGGCTGAAGACGCCGCCGCCGACAACTAGCAGCCGGCAGGCTTCTAATTGGTATGCAAGTGCCCAATAGAGGTGCAAAACAGCGACGGCGCCGGCCGTGAGTGTGACAGCATCACGTTATCGGATTGGATTTCCCTTCCTTCGCTGGAGGCATAGGCGGGCTTCCCCTTCTCGGAGAGATTTGGAGAAGCCAAATATTAGGGCACCAAAGCCCTGGACTTTACTGCTGCCCAACTCTTCTTTCTTCGCTGGTGATTCCAAGGCATACTACCACTTCCTAGCTATCATCTACGTGAAACTTACTTCATAACCTATTGGAGGGGCTCTGTGAGTTCTCTACGTATCCCCTCTCTCCTTTCAACAAAGACTTTACGTACCATGTCTCTCGCGCGGTCGAAGCGTCCTGCCCTTGGCAAGGTTGCCTCACATAGGTGATCTCTATGATGCCCGAACGGATTCCTTTGGCATCTCTCTACTCAACGCAGATCCCCCGGAAAACGCTATCAAGCGGGCCGATAACCCGTCCACGTCCATGGCCATCTCCAAAACCGACACGTATAAAGAGAAGTTCAAGACGTTTGAGATGGATAGCGGACTGAGCGCCAGCTTCCTGGCCGGCCTGGTCGAGGTCAGCGGCTCTGGGAGCTTCCTGAAGGAGATGAGGGACAGCAGCCTGTCGACCCAGATGTCGCTCATCTACAACACGACGTCGGTGGATGAGACCCTGTCGCTCTTTGAAGCAATGGGTAGCATCGCACTCAACCGCCTCGATAGTGGTTTTGCTACCCACGTGGTGGCAGGCATCACCTGGGGAGCCCAGTGCGTCGTCACGATCAAGAGCGAAGTCAAACACGAGGAAAAAATGAAGGAGGTGTCGGCCAAGATGGAGGCTGAGCTCTCCAAGCTGAAGCTGGCCGGCGCCGGAGCCCACGCCTGGCTTGCTGCAGACCGGGGCAACCAGGACTCGGAAGCAAAATTTGAGGTCACGGTTCATGGCGACATAGTCGCCGATGATGGCCTGGTTCCTTGCGACCTCCAAAGCGCCCAGCAGTTTCTCAGCAACGTTGGAAGATACATGAAGAAGGCCAACAACGGCAAAGGGAAGCCACAGGCGTACCGGCTGCTGCCGGTTAGTTTTGTTCGGATGATGATGGGCGGGATGCCTACAATGGCGGACGAGAAGCTCATCGAGCTGGACCTGCAGTGCCTCGAGAACTTTGTCCTCCTGTTCGACGAAATCCATACCGCCAAGATGAAGCTGCACGACTACCACATCCAGGTCGAGAGCCACCGCCACTGCGTGCCGCCGGAGCATGCGCGAGAGATTGCAGAGCAGCTGAGCCAATGGAACGCTCAGGAGGCAGATCTGAAGGCGCGATATGCGGACACACTGACAGCAGTCCGAGCCGGCCGCGCTCAGGGGCAGGAGCTCCTGCGTCTCCAAGCCGAGTTTGCGGGCGGGCCGTTTGCCCCTGAGAAGCTCACTACTGCGTCTCACATCTACAACGAAAAGATCGAGTTTGTCGACCTGGTGGAGCACCGCGGTGCGACGTACATTGGCTACGAGCGATCGCTCAAGATCGAGCTGATGAAGAGGAGCACGAGCGACGACGTCTACATCATGTACTTTGACGACAGCTCGATGGACCTGGACGAGTGGGACGGGAACGCAGCCCTTGTCCTCAAGCTCCTCGAACAGAAGCCGCAGAAGCCCGTGTTAATCGTGGACACAGAAGCGGCCGGAGTCGCCGGACTGGCACCGATGAGCGTCCGCGTGGTCCACGAGCGCCAAGGCACTCAAGTGTGCAAGGACTTGCTCGAGGTGCGCAGGTTTATGGCAGACTATTGCGTTATGCAGTACCCCGGGGACAAACTCGACCGTTCCCAGACGACTAAGCCCAATACTCGTCGGGCCGTCAAGGTGCCTTGCCCCAGCCTGCAATGCCAGCCGTCGGAAACGTGCGAATGGGTCTGCTTCCGGTGCCGCGCGCCGATCGAGTATGGCTACACGGACGAGTTCCTCTACTGCGACTGCGGCCGGTGCCGGTACGATGAGTGGGAGTTTCAGTGCAATGGCGACCAGCACGGCTGGGTTTTTGAGAAGTATGACACGGAGAAGTTCCATAAGCTGCTGCGCTGTCTCGAGCCGTTTAAAGAGCTCAACATCCTGATCCTGGGCGAAACGGGCGTCGGCAAGTCTACGTGGATCAACGCCTTCATCAACTACCTGACCTTTGCGTCGCTCGAAGAGGCTATCGCAGCGCCCGACCTCAAATTCATTATCCCCTTCTTCTTCGGCTCTCACGACGAGGCCAGCCACTGGCACGAGATCAACTACGCGCTGCCTGGTGTGACGGCGGTGGACGAGGTCGCCAGCACCCAGGGCGAGTCGGCGACGCAGAGAACCATGATCCATTCCTTCCAGGTTGGCGACCGCATCGTCCGTCTGATCGACACCCCGGGTATTGGCGATACGCGCGGTGTCGAGCAGGACAAGTCCAATATGGAGGACATTCTGCAGACGCTTACCCAGTACCCCGAGCTGCACGGGATCCTCATCTTGCTGAAGCCAAACAATGCCCGGCTAACGCTCACGTTCAAGTTCTGCATCACGGAGCTGCTAACCCACCTGCACCGCAACGCTGCGAGAAATATGGTGTTTGGTTTCACCTTTACGCGCGGGTCCAACTACCAGCCTGGCGATAGCTACAGTCCGCTGAAGATGTTGCTGAGGGGCTGCCAGATCGACGAGCTGGAGTTATCCCACCATACAACTTACTCCTTCGATTCGGAGAGCTTCCGGTACCTGGCTGCGCTCAAGCAGGGCGTTGAGCTTGGCTTCCGGGACGAGAACGCCAGGAGCTGGAAGCGCTCGGTGGACCAATGTACCCGGCTCGTCGAGCATTTCTCCAGCATCCCGCCGCACCAAGTACGGAGCACCCTGAGCCTCAACCAGGCCAGACAGGTCATCTTGCAGCTCGTCGAGCCCATGGCCAAGGTCTCGCAGTCGATAGCCGACACGGTGCGCGAAAACGAAGCTGATCTCCAGAAGCTGACGAATATGGAGAACCAAGTGCCAACCCGGGCTGAGCTGGAGAAGATGCTGATGGTGCGGCGGAAATGCCAGGTGGCCATCGATCTCGACACGCCGCGTACCGTCTGCACCAACCAGGATTGCGGTCATGAGCCCGACGATCTAGAAGATGTCTCCACGCTGTACAAATCTGTGTGTCACGACGACTGCACCCTGAAATTCGGGAGCCTGCGGTGGTGCTCCGTCATGAAAGCGAAGGTGTTGAGCCGAAAGTACGTCTGCAAAATGTGCGGCCACGATCTCCAAGACCACCGGCATCTCACGTACGATCTGCGCGAGAGGACCGTCATCGAGGGCGCTGAGGAGGTGGCGAAACGTCTGCAGGACGGCCACGATACGATCAAACCGGTGCGCGAGCTCGTCAAGGAGAAGACCCGCCGGGTCGAACAGTTCAAGGAGGAGCAGAAGCTCATCCAGGAGGCTTGCAGCCAGTTCAGCTTCTTCATGAAGAAGAATTCCATCACGCCTTATAACGACGCAACCGCGGCGTTCCTCAAGGAGCAGATCAACGAGGAAAAGAAGAAGGTGAACCCTACCTCGGGCGAGACCGAGCGGCTCCGGCGGCTGCAAGAATCCCTCCGCCAGCACGAGAAGATGGTTGGCGACCTGAAGCGCAGCATGGACAGGGGCGAAGGGAACGAGATTCTGGAGGAAAACGGCATTGAGAAGTGGCTCAAGACGCTGTACGACTTGCCCAACTTTGGCCGTGACTTGCAAAAGATCAAGGAGGTCGTTGACCGCACGCGCGAGGCCACTTTCCGCGAGAAGCCACATCCCATTCGGGTAGGAGCGCACTGGCCCCACGGGAGCAGCGGCCGAAGGCGCGAGTTGAAGCAGTCGTGGTCGCCGTCGCCGGCGACTCCTGGTCGGGTCAAGGATAAGGCTCGCAGGATGTTGAAAAAGGAAAGTACTTCGACGGCCTACAGCCTCGGAAACGCGGCACCGACAACCACTGGAGGAGGTGATGGGAATCACATGGGGCAGGCCAGAAATCCACGCACCGTCGCCATCCCCCAGGACAGGACGCTTGGGGTGACGGCCGACATGAAGACACCGCGGGTAACGACTACCGCCGTGATGAAAGAGGCCACTCAGCACTGATCTCAGGTATAGTGCAATACTAGGAACGAGACTAGGGTCAGATGAACAGAGTATTGAAGACGTGGGAGTAGCTGTCGTTTAGGCGGAAGATTCTAGGAGTGACTGGCAAAACCATGAAGGAAAAAAAGGGAAAAAAAACATACAACACCGGGGATTCGCTGGTCGTCACCGACCCAACTACTGATCCGGCCCTTACGAGTTTAACTAGGGGAGAGCGGACGGGATCCCGTGTTTTCTGGCAGGTATGGTCGTATGTGACAGTTCGGCGTCGGTGTTTTGGTTGATATGGATGATACGGGGGTGTTGTTGAGCGAAGGGCTCGGGTGACCTTGGTTCAGGGCCAAGAAGAAACAGCTTGAGATAGTAAGTGATAGCCCAGGGAAGTCATTTGCGTCGTATGGACAAAGAAAGAGAACTCTGTGGACCCCCGAGCCCCCTCTGGCTCCACAAGGGACATTGTTTGTGTTGTTGTCGAGAAAGGGTTTGCATTAAGGGTTAGGGTCTGCTGAAAAGTTACACAAATCCTTGTGAGGCCAATGCGCTGCAGGAAGCTTGCCCCGCCACGTGACCACACAGAAATTCGAAAACCTATCGCGGCACAAATTTACTGGCAACTCCTTCCCACGATCTCGGACAAGCAAGTTAGCAACGAGTGCCGACCAAGTTGCCCAACATGTCTCTCGTATCGGGCGAGAAGGTATGTGGACATTCAAGATGGATAATTCCATCACCTCCCTGTTGTCTGCGAAATTCTGCTGCCGGGCCATCCTCGCGGGTTGCGACGCCGACGACGATTATCACCTGCTCGATCGACAAAGACTCGGCTCGTGAGTCCATTCGACATGACTACAGTCAAATCTCGCACGATATCCGGTGGACGATACCGTACAATGGAGCAAAAGAGGCGGAATAGTGCGAAGGAAGATGACCGCCTTGATCCTTAGTGGGCGGTGCCACCTTGGGTATTCTACACCAAACAGTAGATGGAGATCATTTTTGGATCTCGATGGCGCATACACCTCGAAGGGTGGTCGGCTGTCCGAAACCTTGGTTCTCAAGCACGATCGAAGCGTTTCGAACTCGCAACAATGGCCTAGGAGAATCGGAACGGCAGCAGACAGCAGACAGCGGACAACACTCGATTCATTGCATGCATTATACATGTGTTGTGTGTAATGGAGGCTAACGGGATCTTCAGAGCAACTTCAACCACATTCTGCGTCTGCTCAACACCAACGTTGACGGCAAGCAGAAGGTCGTCTACTCCTTGACGTGAGTATCCGCCGAATTGCAGCGTTTGGGAGTCATGAGCTAACCTCATGTGATCCAGTAAGATCAAGGGTGTTGGTCGTCGTTACTGTACGTATCCCGTTCACCCTAGCCCTGCATCGCGACAAGTTACGGGCGACCGCTCGGTCCATCGAAGTCACATATTTGCGGAAAGCCGTGGCTGACCAGGTGAACAGCCAACCTTGTGTGCAAGAAGGCCGATGTCGACCTGAACAAGCGGGCCGGTGAGCTCACCTCCGAGGAGCTTGAGCGCCTGGTCACTATCATCCAGAACCCCACCGCCTACAAGATCCCCTCGGTACGTTTAACCTTGCGATGGCTTACAAGGGAACCAGACGCTAACAACGACGCTACAGTGGTTCCTCAACAGGCAGCGCGACATTGTCGATGGCAAGGACTCGCAGATTCTTGCCAACGGTGTCGACTCCAAGCTCCGTGATGATCTCGAGCGCTTGAAGAAGATCCGTGCCCACCGTGGTCTCCGTCACTACTGGGGCCTCCGTGTGCGTGGCCAGCACACCAAGACGACCGGCCGCCGCGGCCGGACCGTCGGTGTGTCCAAGAAGAAGGGTGGTTAAGTGGGTTTCTCTGGCGTGCGGCATTCTTTGGCACTGCTGTGCTTGGCTTTCTGGCGGTGTTATCCCAAGGCTAAGGGGTGGTCATGGACGGGACGGGTTGATTTTTATTACCTTGCGAATATCTCGGCAATTCGTTTGGGAGCTCACAGGATCGCTAAAGGGAACCACCATGATTCACAGCATGACAATACAGGCGCGGACTTGAAAAAGTATGATGACTCGTGCCGACGACTTGTGCCATGATGAAGGATGGGTTCGCTACCTGCTCTCTTTTCTTTTGGAAGGCCAAACGCCTACATAAATCTAAGAAAAAGGGGTATCCGGCATATGTTGATTATTCCTCATGGGTGACGGCCATGTCTAGAACCTCGACCCTCCCCTGCCCTTTCGTTTCGCCTCCCACAAAGTCGGACAACCCCTTGAAAGCCCCGGGTTCTACGAACCCGACAATCTCCCACTCGGAACCTATGACATCCTGGTTCTCGATCTGCTCGATGAAGCTGAGGATCTTGTCCTTGACCGTCCCGGGGGCCTTTGGCTCCCCATCCCCTCCTTCTGTATCCTTCCCGCCCGCCGCCGCCGCCGCCCCCTTGGGAGCTTTTACGGCTTGCTTGAGCACGTTGGTCGAGCAGGTGATGCGCAGCCGCATGCGCGCCCGCGCCACGGGAATCGGTTGATGCGCGATCAGCGCCTTCATCGCATCCAGCGCCTGCGACTTGGCGCTCTTGTTCGCCGACACCCCCGTCCACGTCGGCCGCGGCTTGCTCTCGCCGGCCTCGCCGGTCGCGGGGGTGCCGGTTGCGCTGGGGTTGTTACTGTCGTTGTTGTTGTTATTGTCCTTCTTGTTGTCCTTGTCCTGCTGCTGCTGCTGGTGCGCGTTGGCGCTGAGCATGTCGAGGGCCTTTTCGATCATGCCCGACGTGTAGACGCGCTTGGTGCGCGGGTCGACCAGCTTGCTGGCCACGATGGAGATGACCTCGTTGTGCACACGCTCAAGCTGCGCCGTGCGCTCCTTCTCGCCCACCTGCATCTCGCCCTTGCGCAGTATCTCCAGGATGATGTCGTCCACCGGCGTGTCCTTGCCGAACGCCTTGGCCAGCTCGGCCGACGGCGCCGTCTGGCCCTTGGATACGTTGAGGAATACCGAGGGAATTTGGAGGACGTTGTCCAGGTCTGTTTCAATGCCGGAGCGCCATTCTAGCACCTTGTTCTTGTAGCAGGCGATCTCGAACCGCTTCTTGCCCTTTTTTAGGCGCACCAGCGAGACGTTGGTGAGCTTGATCTGGTTGGAGGGTTGTTGGATCACCATGCTGGCGGTTCGGAGGGTGTGAGACCTGGGAAATGGAAAGAAGGGTTTGGCTCAGGGGTTGTTAAGAAAGAGCGGTAATTTCTTGTTCAATCTTCAGGAATCCGGTTTCGCCTTTTTTGGGGGGGTTCAGTCTGGCAAGGGCGCTCGAGTTCCTTCACTGCCGTCTGTGTTCTGCTGGCGGGAACTTTTTCCTTATCAACTGCTTCCGTACCTCAATATCACCCCGCCAAACCACTCAGATCAGAGGGGCGTTGGGGCGCGAGCCCACTGTGGCTCTTCCATTGTGGATGAGTCGGGATGAGTCAGGCGGGTCTTTCTGCAGGGATGACAGGCGTGGTGCACGGCGACGTAATGCGACTCACTGATCGCCTCCCATGGGACTCGCTCCTTTTTGTCCCGTTCTCATCGTAACAACGCAAATTCCTCGACTGTTGTTTTTGTAGAATCTTTGAACACTGTAACTATTTGTGGAACAGAACCCCAGTATAGAAGCCTTGCGATTCAGCTCCAATCTGTTGGCTCGTTCCATGCCTTCACCTTATCTCGGCCGATGACGCAGTTCAGAAGGCAGGGCTGCGGTGGAGCTTGCTGGGTGAAGTGTCTCAGTTTCTATTGGCTTGTCATTGGCGAGGCTACAACAAATTAGCCACTGTTCCAGTCGCTCTGGCAGAAGAGGCTCTTGTTCTTTGTGAAAACCCCACTTTGCTTCGCTCTCGTGACCCAGCCTGCAAGGTACCCAGACAACCGGTGTGGCGCAACCAATGCGTGCCTGGATGTGCCTTGCGACCGCGCTTCCCCGTTTCAGCCGAACCCAACCCCCCAAGCTCCCGCTTCTTCCTTCTTATCTTCCTTCTTTCCTTTCCCATCACTCCCAACAAACCTGCATCATCGTCTCTCCATACCATACATCAATCATCATCGGTCCACATCCGCAATGAGGATCGCAGCATCGACAGTGCTGTTCGGCGCGGCTTCCGCCGCGTCATTCCAGCAACAAGCTCAGCATGTGCTTTCCGGTGGCTTCGGAAAGGCCCAGGAGGCCATGAAGCCCATCTCGGATGCCTTCACCGATGCTGCCGGCCGCCCTTTCGAGAGCTTCGAGGATGCTTTCTCGGGAATGACCGCTGAGACGAAGGCGCTCTGGGAGGAGATCAAGCTGCTTGTTCCCGACAGTGCCTTCAAGGACCTCTCGTGGCTCAGCAAGCCCAAGCCTCACCACCGCCGTGATGACTGGAACCATGTCGTGAAGGGCGCCGATGTCCAGGGCATGTGGGTACAGGATGCTAACGGTAAGAGCCACCGTCAAGTGGACGGTCGCCTCGAGGAGTACAACCTCCGCGTCAAGGCTGTCGACCCATCCAAGCTCAATGTCGATTCGGTCAAGCAGTACAGTGGCTATCTTGACGACGAGGCCAATGACAAGCACCTGTTTTACTGTAAGTTTATATTACCCTATTCATCTTCGCCACCCAATGGCACTTTACTGATTTGATCCATAGGGTTCTTCGAGTCGCGCAATGACCCCAAGAATGATCCTGTGATCCTGTGGCTCAACGGCGGCCCCGGCTGCTCGTCGCTCACCGGTCTTTTCCTCGAGCTCGGCCCTTCGTCGATCGACAAGACGCTTAAGGTTGTCAACAACGACTTCAGCTGGAACAACAATGCCAGTGTCATCTTCCTCGACCAACCCGTCAACGTTGGCTACTCATACTCTGGCTCTTCTGTGAGCAACACCGTTGCCGCCGGCAAGGACGTCTACGCTCTCTTGACCCTCTTCTTCCATCAATTCCCCGAATACGCAAAGCAGGACTTCCACATTGCTGGCGAGTCGTACGCTGGTCACTACATTCCGGTCTTTGCCTCGGAGATTCTGGCCCACAAGAACAGGAACATCAACCTCAAGTCTGTCCTGATCGGAAACGGTCTGACTGATGGCCTCACTCAGTACGAGCACTACCGCCCCATGGCTTGCGGTGAAGGTGGCTATCCCGCCGTCCTCGGCGAGGCTGAGTGCCGCAGCATGGACAACGCCCTCCCGCGCTGCCAGTCGCTGATTAACAACTGCTATGAGAGCGGTAGCGTGTGGAGCTGCGTCCCGGCCTCCATCTACTGCAACAACGCCATGATCGGTCCTTACCAGCGCACCGGCCGGAATGTCTACGATATCCGCGGCCCATGTGAGGACAGCAGCAACCTTTGCTACAGCGGCCTCGGCTATATCAGCGACTACCTGAACCAGCAATCCGTCATGGACGCCTTGGGCGTTGAGGTTTCAAGCTATGACAGCTGCAACTTTGACATCAACCGTAACTTCCTCTTCCAGGGCGACTGGATGCAGCCTTTCCACCGTCTTGTGCCCAAGATTCTGGAGGAAATCCCCGTCCTCATCTATGCTGGTGACGCTGATTACATTTGCAACTGGCTTGGCAACCGGGCTTGGACCGAGGCGCTCGAGTGGCCCGGCAAGAAGGACTTCAATGCGGCCAAGGTCAAGGATCTGAAGCTTTCTGGCGCTGAGAAGGAGTACGGCAAGGTCAAGGCCTCGGGCAACTTCACGTTTATGCAAGTCTACCAGGCCGGCCACATGGTCCCCATGGACCAGCCCGAGAACTCGCTCGACTTCCTGAACAGGTGGCTCAACGGCGAGTGGTTTGCCAAATAGAGGGAGATCAAGGCGTGATTAGTATTTAGGAAAAATTGTTATCTCACGCTGTCTTTGTACATTGCTTTTTGAGACTTGGGGGATGAGATGTGCAGAGTGTAGGGAGGAGTGTGCGTGATTCTAAATCTTCTAATACCGGATGCTCGTTTCCTTACTCGAATGGGATTCGTCATTAATTTCCATATTCTTGACGTATGCTTGACACGAACACAGATATGCATGCATGACTTTGGCCCTCGTGTAAAGTAATTAATCTCTACTCGCGGCCACCTCCCTATGCTCATGTACAATTTTTGACCACGTCCACGCCTTTTACACATGCCCCCCTACGATCGAGGGTTGTTTACCCTCCCCCCTTCCCCCCCCCCCGGTCCAGGGGTTTCCCCCGCTCAGGCGACCGTCCTTGAGGGAGAAGGGTATCTCAAATCACAGAAGAATACACAGGGGCAAAAGGAGTGGTGTCGTCAAAGTGGTTGGAACGAGCCTAACTGCGGCAAAGACCAACAGCGAATACGAGCAAAAAAGACCACAAGATTGTTGTCAACGGGGAACAGCATATTTTCTGTACAGTTGGCAGCACATCCACGTATATACAGCCCGTATTCCCCTCCACCTTCTCTCCCTTTTGCCTGGGACAAGCATTTCCGTCCGGCCATGCCGCAGCCTGCTCTTACAGTCCCGTTCTTTCTTTTCTTTTCTTCCCCTCCCCACCCCCCCCAAATTGAAGGGTATGTGAACCGACCGGGGAAAGGAAAGTAACTTGTACCCCCAAAACAATCCATCGTTAGACCACCAACTCCGTCAGCCCCATGATTAAGCCAGACCAACAACCCCACGCGCCGTCCACAAAGCGCGCCATCCGCCGCCCATTCATTCTTTCCTTTACCAACCAGCCAACCAACCCTAGGGCTATGAAGTGAGAAGCCAACCCCGGCCAGGAATTTTGACTCGCCATGCCCGTCTCATCTTTATATACGTGGCCGGGGGGGTAGAAAATGAAGAAAAACTGGATAGGAAAGAGACAGCGAACGAACCACGCGCGTAACGGCGCATCATCGTACACGACGTTCGAAAGTTCAATGCCAATGCGAAACAAAACCATGAAATGAACCGCGGTCAACTGAATGAAGGATGCGCGAAAAGGGCAGCCGTATAACGGGTCTGGGGAGGCCTCGTAGCCCGATACAAGAGGGGCCCCGGCAAAGCAACGGAAGGGGATGGCAAAACCTCGCATCCAAACGAGAAACCGGGCGGCGCCCCAACCTGAGACCACGCCTTGTGGACTCGAGCATGGAGCAAGAGGCCTTCCTAGCTCTACCCGGCCGTATCAGCCGCCTGCATCGGCGGACTCGAGTTCTTATGTTTTCTAAAAAGGTTTTGGAACCCATTGATACGGAATCGGCTCGGCTTTTTCTTAAGCTGCCGGTTGGCTGTATCAACCGGCTCGGGCCCGCCGTTCCTCTTCGACGCCGCGCCGTTCGTGTATTGATGGTGATAGTGGCCGTTTTGAAGCGCGTCATGTTCCCCATCTAGCGTCAGTGGAGGCGGCGGATAGCCAGGGGCATTCGCGTCTGCTTTGCTCTGAGTTGTAGCAGCCGACACCGGAACGGTGGTAGGCGATTCATCGGGTGCCGACAAGCTCGGAACGGGCACGCTGGTACTGTGGCTGTGGGGTCGCTCAAACGAATCGCGGCTCACTATACTAGTGCCTTGGGTGCTCGGCGACAGCGGCATCCTTCCAGTCGTGGCGCTTGTTGCTTGCGATGCCCAGTCGCCACTGTTGGGTGCCGAACTACCCTCCGTTGCCTCGCTGTACTTTTGGCGAGTGTGGCCGTGTTGTTGGACGCTACCGTTGACGGCGAAGGTTCCGTTTTGGGTGAAGTCGTTGGTTGGGGAGAAGCTGGTGACAATGTCGTTTACTATCCGTCCTTCCGTTGGCCGCCTGGGGCTCGGATACAGCCTTTGGAAAGTATCCGCCTGCTGGGGAGGAATAGCTGGTTCTGACATCTGGGGTTCAACGACCTTTGGCACTGAGCCCATATCCCCCTTGGCGGGATGCGCTTCTGTCGCCGGATCTGGAGAGGTCGTGAAATTTATCGATTTCGGGGAGAGATCGAGGCCATTGTCCCGTGGAGCCGGTTCGGTAGGTGACTGCCGCTTTTGTTCGTCGAGTAGAGACCGGTCAAACAATTCCTTGTTCAAGAAGAGTTCGTCGACGCAGTACTGCATCGCGGGCAGGATGTCTGCAACGCCCTGGAAAAGCGGTAGGGCAAACAAGTTCATGAACTTCAGCTGTGAAGTGGTCAGTGACAGCTTGTCCTGCTTCGGCTCCGACATTAACGATGTCTTGATCTCCAGCTCGTTTTCCATGGTAGCCTGTCGCGAAAATTCCTCGGACAGGATCTTCATCCATTGGATGGCAGCATCGTGCCGTCGAGTCTATTACATGGGAATCAGAACCATAGCCAAGGACAACGGCTTTTTCTTTTTGGTCGGCGGGGGGATAAACTTACAACATTGCTGATATCTGCGCATTTGATGAGAAGGGCACATGTCAACGCCTTTTGCTCGTTCTTCACCCCTTCGTCCCAATCCTCGGTGGAGTTATTGGGACGCAACTTCCCTTGCAAATCGCCTAGCTTCCTCATGTAGTCAAAGTGCAGTCCCATATCCGTGGCTAGGATCGAGCTGATCATCAAGTGGCGCATCTTGCTGTCGTCAAAGGTTTCGGGCCAGTACCGCCGCAAGATCTGCGAGTAGGCAGCACAGTGAAACGATTCGAGAACAGAACGATCGTTGTACAGCTGGGCGAGTGGCGCATTTAGTGTCACCAGGAAGCCGTTGTTCACACCGGGATGCCCGACATCGTGACCAATGGCCGTGATGAGAAGGGTTAAGGCCTCGAACGGGCGAAGAAGCTCTGCGATTGGCGACTTGCGACAAGCCGCGGACAGCAGACCATCGGCCGAGCGGTAGGGTGGTAGTGCGCCAATGCGGACGAGGAAATGGAAGGTTGCCTGCAGGACATCAACCACGTGGCGGAAGTTATGATACGGGACAAACGTGTTGTAAGCCGCCCGGCAGGCGAGAAGAAAGCGGTGTAGCCGGTCTGAGTGAATCGGTCAGTCAGTGGATCGTTGATGGCCGTGACAGCAGAAGACGTACCTGTTGGTATCCGCCAAGGCTCCAGTTCGGGCATTGACAATGCGTGCTTAAACATGACTAAAGCCGCCACAACAAGCTCGTCCTCGGTGAAATCATGAGCGCAAAAGTGCCATTGGCCGACTGCGGACGTGACCTCGGCCTGCTTCTCAGCGGTGATGGACAGCTTGATGCTACAAGCCACCTCGTCAGTCTCGCTCCCGATGCGGCAAATCCGACCCATGAGCTTCGAAACCATGGCTTCCCGCAGATACGCGAATGGTTTCTCCTCGCAGATGCCAACCCACGACCGTTTTCGGCCCCGACGGAGGTCCACCAACGCCTTCTGATCCTGAGCAGCGTCTAGTTGGGCGCGGTAGGCATGAATTTCGAGGCTGGTGACACACTTGGCGTTCATGGGGTTCGTCATGACATCCGTCGCACCCACATCGAGGCACTTTCTCAACATCCTCTTATCGACAGTGCGGCCCCTGGCCTCGCTCGTCCCATTCCCGGCTCCCGAATGACCGCCAGACGCGGTGGCAACTATGGGAACCGTGACAACAAGCTTGGACATATTGCGCACATACGACTCCGAAATGATCCTCCGCAACAATGCCAGCCCATAGAGTTCCTCCTCTTGGTTCTCGCTAGCGTCGGCAATCAGGGATGGCGGCGAGGGAGACCTCGAGCGGGACCACTCGGGAATGTCGTCGTCTTGATGAGGGGTGTTCAATACGAACACAGTCGGCTTGAGGGCGGCCATCGAAGTCTCTTGGAGACTCAGCCATTGGGACAGGCATGCGTCTCCGGTGCTGCACAAATGGACTGTGTTCGGCAAATTAGCAATCCATCCAGCACCACAGCGGCGAATCGATTGGATCGGGCGGCAGACGGCATGCATACCTTGGTCAAACACGTCCAAAAGAAGTGCAGCATTTTCTATAACATGCACCGGTTCTACCTCAGGCGCATTTGCTTCGCGGATATGCTCGCCGGCCTTGATGCTGCGGTCCCGCGACACGGACCGATCGACGTATATGACATTGCACGGTACATTCTCCATGGTGGGCCTGACAAGCGACCGGTCTCGCGACCAGATACGCTTCCGCCACGGAGGTTATTGGTTGGGTGGGCCAGACAGGGGCCGGATACGACTGCTGGGCTCGCGAACGTATCCGGCGGTGATATGGGCCAAGCCGATGAGGAGACGGCAGGTCGGCGCCGATCGCGTTCGTCGAGGTATAGCGAGGAGCGGCCCTCCTTGAAGAAAATGTGATAGCGACGCAGCCAGAGGGTCGGAGTCGGCGTCGGCAACGGGGGCTTGGGAGCGCACGGATTGGCTGGCCCGAGGAAGTATTTCGTGTATGTCTTTCGCGTCGCCGAACTACCTAGGGTGAACCGCCCGTGTCGAAAGTGCAAAAAGGTCGGGCGGGTTAAAGGTCAAGTCAAATGAGGCTGGGATAGTCTGTTACGCTAAGGTTAGGCCTGGCGCGCATAGGGCTGCGGGAGGCTGCGTGGTGCGTGTGGTGTGCGTGATAGGTATGCGTGGAGGAAGGGGTGGTGACGAAAAAAGAGTGCGCAAAGGCCAGAGCGCCGGGTCTCGGTGCACTGGCTCGTCAGAAGATTTGCGAAGAGGGAGGTGTGGGTTTGGCTAGGAGCGAGAGGTGGAGACGAAGGCATGAAGGAAGGAAGGGGGGGAGGGTGGGGGACAGCACCAGGGAAGAGGGCACGAAGGCAAATGGAACAACCGGAGGGGATGGGACGTACTGCAAGGAAGGTACCTGCCCAAGATACAGATTACACGCCATGTGCTGTTCTCAGGCTTCCCAAAGTGGATTGTTTTGACGCTTCGTGATGGGGGGAGTGTTTGGGTTCCAGGACTCGACCAGAAGGGTAGGTGGTGTAGAGTGTAGAGGACAAGACTACCACAAAGTGTGGATGATGGATGATGGAATCGGGGAAGCAAGCTTGTGCCTCGAAAAGAAAGAACCAAGCAAATCCTCGGTCTCGCCTGCTCTCGGGGCGCTCGAACCCATGGGGCGAATTCGCTATCACTAACTTAGCCCTAGGGGGGATGCGAATGGGCAATTGGAGCGGAAATAAAAAGGCAGTCCCCACGATTGGTCTTGGGTTTTGATGAAGGGTGGTAGGCAAGGACCTCCCAAGGTGTTCGGCGCACAGCACACACACCCACACAGGCACTCGTGCACCCACGCAAGTTGAAGGCGGCAGGTGGGTTGGACGAAATGGGTGAGTGGAACACTATGAAATGGAAGGGAGCATGGAAGGGGCAGACAATCGGGGGAAGCGCGGAAGGTGTGGGTGCGGCCCCCCTCCTTTTGGTGGCGGGAACCAGTGAAATTGCTGGGCTGGGGTGGGCCATGCTGCGCAGGCGGGAAAGGTTCAATCTCAGGAAGAGCCGGGGTGGACTCTGACTGGCCCATCTCGCCGTGCCCCGGCCTTCTGGCTGCCTTCTCGAAAACCCGTCGAACACGCTACTGCAGAGACCAAAACCTCGACTTGCCCGTGCCCAGGCCTGTCCCCGCAGAAGAGGCAGCACAGGAATGCGGGCGACGACCGCCAACACAGTGCCGGATGGCAGATGCCCAGCAGTCCAATAAAACCCCCGCTAATACTTGGTAGCCACAACCTAGCTACCTCCATACACGACAACCGCCGTGATGCACGCACCCACGCACCCGCGCACCCACTCCGGCCGCTCGGGCCCTTTTGTGTTCGAAGACTGCTTTCATTGCGGAGAGACAGACAACATCGAAGCAACGAAAATGATCCTCGGACAAAGATAGCAGAGTGGGGCGAATCTTACCTGGGAGAAAAACAACTCGGACGAAACTGGGCCCCGTGGCAAGGATGTGTGGAGAATCGCCCGGGGTAGCATACCAACCCATTTCAACCACGAAGACAGCAAGCAGGCTGGTGAGATGGGTTGAATTTTGTAACTCTCCAATGCAAATGTACTGTGTGTTTGCCAGCGACCACCATCGGCCACTCTCACCATTTGTCGGTCTCTAGCGATAGCCAAACATAAGGCAGTTATATCAGGTCAGCCCAGCAGCCGTTGTTTACTGATCAGTAAACAACGTGCGCAGACTTGAGCAAATTGACGAAATACGCACAGGGACTCAAAATATCGAGGGCCTAACGATTTTTCCTTGCAGTAGATCGGTCGTGTTGACATGAAAAAGAAAGAATCAATAACGGGGAAATGGAGGGGGATCGCAAAGGACACGGGCCCCTAACTAGTGTACATATTGCGTTTCGCGGTTCGCTGGGCCGGCATGAGCGCCAAACGATCAAACCTACCGAACCACAAAAGGATCATCGCTGTCGCCCGACATTCGGCTGAACCCAAACGCTGCGAGCCGTGCCTGTGCGCCCGGAGCACGAGCTCAAAACGCAGATCGATACCAGCAGCAGATGGGCTACCAGGCCCCGAACCGTCCGGCCCAGGTCCGACGTGTCCAGCTTTGTCGTCGTTCCACGTTTCAATCATCGACAATAGTCCGTGCATAACTACGCATGGGGCACACTGGCACCCTGGCAGCCTTCCCACTGGCTATCGGACAGCCCTCGTCTCAACCCGGGACGGAGCCTGAGAGATATTGAGGCATCGCAATCACGGACCGGGCATCGCAGGCCGGAGAAGGCCGCGGCGGGCATCGGCCGGCGATGATCTTGGAAATGGAACAAAAGGGCCGGCCCAGGAAGTTCGAGACGGGCTCATCCTTCCGCGGCTTGGCTGACCACCCCACATAGTTACTGGGCTTGGGCCTTCTTGAAGCAGGCAAATCAGGCGAAGAAGAGTCTCGGTATTCGCCCATACTTGCGCCAAGGCCTCCACGAATGGCGCAAACGTGCACGAGTCGCCCAACCGTTGCCGCGAGGAAACCCCTGCGTCAGTCGGCCCTCCTCCAGCCCGGCGAACCCAGCACCCAGCTCGAAACCCAGGCATTCCCCACAAACCATTCTCGCCGAGCCATCCATGTTGTTTCTGGAGGGAAAATGCATGCTACGCTACGAAAGTATACCAAGCACATACACGAGGCACCAAGTACGAATACGTAGTCCCAACGGGCGACAACAGACATGGAGCCCAGAGCAGCCCAAGAATTCCCTGATGCCGAACACACACAAAATAGGTACTTCGTAGAAACGCTCGTTATTCCAGAACCGCCGCTTTCTTGCGCCCTCGATGTGCTTTTAGCCGTGCCGCTTCCTCTCGCTGCGGCCTCCAGTGCCCTTCCCGCATTCACCAATGACGTTGCCATGTGCCACCCCAACAGCACAAGCTTCAGCTCAATGGCAAGCGGCTCAAATAAGGCCCAATCTACGTCAGGCCTATCATGGGACGCCGTCTCGACTGATCACAGGGGCACAGCTCGATGTGCGATGCGGCGGGTGAAATCGGTTGACTTCACTCGGCACTGATCTGCCTGACAAATCAACACCTCAAGTCCTCGACCACGGTAACGAACGTTAGGAGGCCAAGTTTTTTTTTTTGCTCCCGGCAGCAGATGCCCTCGCCGTTGCCGTCGCCGGTGAGCCCGGAGCTCTAGGTCGAATGGCTGAATGAATAATAGCCAGTCCCTCGCTTTCCCCCTCCCCCCTTCTTCCCCAACTATGACATGCAGGAGCAATACTCCGAGACATACATGTGTATCGGTTACGCGCGCCATCTTGTGTTGCCTGTTGCCTGTTGCCTGTCTTCTCTGCAGCATCTGAGTCACTCTCCCTTCCGCGTTGTGTCTCTCTTCCACTCAACAGCAAACATCTTGGTCAAGCCGTTTCAAGGACCGACCTACGTAACACCCAGATACCCTAACCGCCCACAACAACCAACCGCCACAATGTTTTTTTGTGCCATATCGAATCGAAACCGCCCGGGAAGAAAGCTGTATATGCACAAGAAAAGTCTATAAATAACACATTCCATCGCCCCAACCGTTTCAGCCCTGTTGATCCGGCTCTGGTGACCGACGGTGGTGCATGTGTCGTGTGTGAACATGCGCAACCGCTAACCGCCGTAGCTGAGCATCGCCAGTCACAGATCCTCGTTTCTAAGCGATGCATGCACAGGAGATCTCAAACCCCAAACACTCCTCACCTCCTGTCACACACGCTCGGGAAATGCCCGGTCACAGACGGCTTAGCGTTTCCAGTCTCGTGGATCAGTTATGCGATGCTCGACCATGACAGGAAAACGCATCCACCCGGAGTAGATAAAGCACGAGGACTAAGAACAGGGGCAAGTACACAACATAAATGAGTAAATGCCCAGAGTGCACCCATCCATCAAACACGCACTGTGGAAACAGCATATGCGTGTATGGGCAGGACGTGTACTGTTACCATATTCGCCCAGTCAATAGACCAACTACCCAGACAAGCGGCACTTGTACATATATACGAATAGCATGTCTTCAGACGTGGAATCCAATTGATGGCCGAGTTTCCATATTCTGACTACCTAGGTAGCCCTGAACACGCCACCACCTACAAGTAAGCAGGCAAGCAAGGAGTATTGACGTCACTCATGACCGACTATGAACCATTCCACATCGTCACTTCAACCCCCCAGAGAAGAGAATGAATGGGAAAAAAAAAAAGACAAAAGTCTACAATCAATTACTTTTTGTACGCCCATGCTCCGCCCTCTCTCGGTGTTCTCCATCGCAGCGGGGACGGGAGCTCCCCTCATTCCTCGTTGCATAACCCACCCACCAGCCCATCCATGATCCATCTATCTACACCACCATTCCCCATAGGTTCCCCCATTCCCCATGCCCCATTTCAGTCATCGCTCATCACCCCCGGCCCGGCCCTTTGTATCGCCACCCCATAACCTAAACTAACCGGCACGATAGTAGTGCATGTATGCAACCCCCTTTCCCTCCATCTAACCGCCTCCAAGTTCCCCCAAGAAGTGTGTTAATGGTTTTTGCTCCCCCCCCCCCCCACCCCCTGAAATTTTTATGACCTTTCCTTGCCTAGACTGAAAAGCCCAAGCCCAATCAATCCTCATCCCAATCCACCCCATGCACCACGCGGGTGAGGGTGAAAACAGAAAGCAATGTAGTAACGAGTGTGAAGATGTAGATGGTGTAGGTAGGCAAGCAGACGGGGACATAGATAGGTAGGTAGGAGGTCGGGTACATAGACGGATAAATGCGTGATAGGCCAAGTGAGGGAATACCAGCATACCTAGGTAACAGCCCCAGCCCCGTCTCCCTCCAGACGGACGAAGACCAACGCCCCGCCACTATCACGCTAGAACGAATTGCGTCACACATGATGGGCTAATGGGAACGATCGGGAGAAGAAGAACCAGGAGAAAAAGCAGAAGGTAACAAAACCCTAAACGCCACACAACCAATGATAACAACAAGAACAACCACATCTAGCACTTTTCGCTTCCAACTCCCCTCATGCGCAACTGGGCGCTCATGATACCACCACCGGCCAATCTCCGGATCCACCAGGATGGCCCTCCTCCCATGACGTCCCCAAGGAACCCCGCCACCGTACTAAGCCGGCGACGGCTTCTCCACCGCAGCAGCGGCAGAGCGCGCACCATCAGCCGCCCCATCCGTGTCGCCACCGACATGGATCTCCGCCACCTTGTCGCTGTCCCGGTCGTCTTCGACCAGGCTATCAACCGCGGGCGGGACGGTGTGGATCTGCTGCTTGACCCACGTCTGCGCGGCCAGCTTGCTGATGAACTCCTGGGTGTCTGCGGACGGCGGCGGCGGGAGGCTGTACTCGTCGGCCCCGGTGAACGTCGGCTCGGGGGGTTCGACGTAGTCGGCGCCGGGTTCCGGCTGGTCGAGGAGGTGCTCCATGCCGGGGGCGTCGTCAAAGATGTCGGTCATTTCGCCGTTGAACGACGAGCCGTCGTTTTGGGCCACGTCACTGGCGATGTCGTCGCTACCGGCCTCCGAGCCAGGTTTGCTAGTCCCGATGATGTTGTCAAAGCTCCAGTTGCTGGGACCGATGACTGACGTCATGCCGGCCATGCCGGCTGTGTCGTACTCCTCTGAGAGACCGATGCCTTCGTCATCGCCTTCAATGCTATTGTGCAGGGTGTCCTGATTGCTCCATGTCGTGCTCATGTCGGCATCGTCATCGATGCCCTGGTATGACGGCCGTTCTGACCCGGCGCGTCTGCTGTTATCCCAACCACGGCTACCCCGAGGGTGAACTAGACCTGCTCCGGCCAAAGCGCTCGGCGATCCACGCTGGGAGGATGAGCCTTGGCCGAGACGCTGGCCTTCCCCCGACTCTGACATGTCATCATCGAGGCCCGCTTGGTTTTGGTTGAAGCGGTCGAAAACTTCCTGGAACTTGGGACCCCCCAAGGGGGCAGCGGAGCGACGGCGGTAAAACAAGAGATACGCGGCCGAGGTCACCACTCGAGCTGTGTCTCTTTGCTTGGTAACTGTGGCGTCTAAAAGGGAATGTTAGTAGGCATGACCATAGCGCATAACCTTGCAAGCCAACTTACCGTTGTACTCGTACCACTCGCCGTCGACGAAATTCTTTGCAAAAGCCGTGTAGTGTCCACCACCCAAGCCACCCCAGTGGTCATCCACAGCGATAAGGTCATAAATCTCCTCCTTCCCATCTTCCTTGTCGATGACGCGCTTTGTCAAGTCTAGCGCTTCCACCGGAAAGTCAACGAGGATATCCAGCTTGTCACGCCTCCAACCGCTGGAGCTAAAGCGCTTCAGATGGACGACTAGGATATCCGGGGTTTTCCAAAGATCGAACTTCTTGCTGGCACGGCGGTGCTCCTTGCAGCGAGGGCAGTACCAGGTGTCTTGTTCTGACAAAATTTCTTCCTTCTCGAATTCGTCCAAGCAGTCGTCCAGGGCAATGCCGTTCTTCTTACGAAGCTGCCGTGCTTTTTGCTTGGCTAGCAGACCAGGGTCTTCCAATATCGGAGCTTTGAGGTACGTCTTCATGTTCGGGCTTTCGTTGGGCGATGTGCCACCGAAAACACGGTCAAAAGCAGCTTCGTTCCATTCAACCATGATGCCCTCGCCCAGGCCAATCAGAGCACCACCCGGGAGGAGCTCCTCTGCCTCAATGGGGGACTGCATGGTGGATTGCTGCCGGAATCGGGCACCACGCTGCTGCTTTTCGAAGTGCTTCTTTCCCTTCTTGCCGTATGTCTTTTGCCTTCCGCCCTTCTTCTTGCCGCGACCGTTTACTTGGTTGAGTCGTGCTTGCAGGTTCTGAGATACAGATGCATGTGTCAGTCAAGTGCAATTTGAGCTCTATCATGCGGCGGGGTTCACTGACCTTGGGCTTGGAAGAGTCCGAATCGTCGTCGCTAGACTCTTCCGTCATGCGAGTGACGGCGGAAGCGGGCAATCTTCCCGACCTCTCGCTTCCGCTGTCGTCGGAACCATCGAGCGGTTCGGGGCTTCGCATCTCCACGTCCGAGGCGGCCACCTTAGGTTGCCTGGAGCTCAATGGAGGCAAGAGGCCATCGTCCGTGGTCGAATTCCAACCGGTTGGCACGGGTGTTTCTGACTCGGTGAAGTAGCTCAACCCAAAGAGGTTTTGCAGCTCCGGCTCCAGAAATTCGAGAGGGTTGACCCACTTGGGCCGCCTGTTGTTGAGGCGCCGCAATATCTGCGAAGATCTTTTTACAAAGTCAGCGACTGTCATTCTCACATCAAGACCTAACGTAGAGCTTACACCTCAGCCGTCGCGGCGGCAGAAGCGTTCCGTGCATCGGAGGCGTCACCCATCGTGACATCGACCATATCGTCCTCACCCTCAACCGACTTGGCAACAATCTTGGAATCGCCGGCAGAGTCCACGTCCGAGGCTGGGTTGGTAACCATTTCCGCGTCCGTGGCATCGGCGGCGTCTGGGTCTTCACGGTATGAGGCGAGCTGGGACCACGTGGTATAGGTGGCCACCTTTTCCAAGATCTTCCGGCGGATGGCTTCCATGTCGCGAGCCTCTTCGGGCGTCAAGATGATAAAGTGCGGTGGAGGAGAAGCGTCTGCGCTCTTACGCCCAAATCGCTTTTTGACAGAGGGTTCTGAGGGCTCAATCCGATGGAGGACCGGGACGAGCATGCGCTCCATCCTCGGATCATCGATCGGAGACGAGTCATCCACTTCTTTTTCTTCGGAGGATGACCTCTGCCGCTCCTTCTTGGCCTGCTTTTTCTTGGACCCGGAGGTGTTGGTAGGGGGGGCTTCGATCTCGTGCACAACAACAATGTCGTTGCCTTGGATCTCGTCAGACACCGCAGAGCCGTCCTCGTAGAGCTTATAGAACTTCGAGTGGAATTCTTCGCCGGCAAAAAGGCGTTCTGTAGGAACCCCAACCCGCGTGGAGATGTACTGCTTCATGGCTCTAATGCTGCTATTTTTGTTGAGGTCGACCACGATATCGACAGGCGTATCATTGAGGGGGAAGAATTTTATGGTATGGGTCCAGACATTGGCCACCGGGAGTGGTAGGGTGAGGTTGTTGAAGGGATCGAAGGTGATGCTGACTTTATCGCAGACAGGGCACACCAAGGTGGACTTGTACATGCCGGTGAACAAATCAGCAATGACCGAGTCGTCCCTCTTCTTCGTAATGTCCCAGACTTTTGCGGCCATCTCGCGGACCGCCGCCGGGTTGTTAACCATGTCGTCGGTGGAATCCGGTTTCTCGATGTACGGCTTCTTCTTGATCCGGTTTAGGTCCTCTTGGAGACCGTCAAGGAGGAAACCAAGGAATTCTTGAGAGTCCTGTTGCCCATATCCGGAGAAGGCCGGCGCATACCTCCCAATTATGCCCTTGAAGTTCCGGGGGGCGATCGAACCCGGTGCCGGATCTTTGTAGATCTCCTCCAGTAGGCGCCCATAGGCAGCCGCGACATCACCATTGTGCGAAAGAGGGTTGTCCGGATTGATCTCCTTGTGTGCTTCGTGGGTGAGGAAGTATTTTGTGAGCTCCTCGACGCTCCTGACGCACTGCAAAGCCGAGTTCATGTAGCAGGTGTTGCCGAGATTTTGCAGACCGACACACCCCAGAGTCCGGCCTGACTTCTGTTGCGTTCGGCCTCTTGTCAGTACCCCTTGAGGTGCAGGGCTGCTGCGTCCACTGCCACTGCCGCGCAGCGCAATGAGGCTGTTTGAGGTATCCTTGTTTGTGAAACCCTTGTCTTTGATGGCGGTGCCCCGGTATGTGGAGACGTGAGCATCGCGGTCGATCTGCTCGTCCAGAACAAGTGTCTGGTCAACAGCCAGACCTACCAATGCCAGGCTCTTCCTGCCATTGTAGTTGGCGTTTGTGGTAGTATCTTCGGCATCCACCAGGCTGCGGTCAACATCTTTCTCAAGCTTTAGAAACGTGTCCACGTCAACAAGCATTTCTGGCCAGGCCCCGGGGATTGAGGGGGGAGCAGCAAGAATTTCGGCATCGCGGCCAGGCGAGTCGGGTGGGGTCTTGATCCCTGACGGTTCCGAGCCGGTCTCCGTGGCCGGTATGGTCTGAAGCAGTCGCCACACGCGCACTTTCTTGTCGGCAGCCACACCAACAAGCTGCTTGGCCTGCATCAAGAACTTGTGGTAGCCGAATGAGGTGCTCTGGACCACGACAGGAGGCGCAGGCTTCTTGAGCTTGATTTCTTGTTCGATCGGAATGGGGCTATTCGCGGACCATAACCGGTGGATGGTAAACACCGGGGGATGGAACTCGAACTGAATGGTTGGGATGCTCACTGAATCAGGAGCCGTGTTGTGGGCTAGGCGGATGATGGGTGATTGTCCCGGAGCCAAGCCGTACCATGACAGGAGGAGATCCCATGCGTCTTTCGGAAAGAGCTCAAAATTCTCAGTGCCCATACCCGGCTTCAGCTTGACGCAGAGTTCGGCGGCAGAATCTGTGAAGATGGCCTGGATGATATCCGCGTTGTCCACGGGTCCCAGTGAGACCTCTGAGGTTTCCTTGCTGACGTGCTTCGTGTCTGAGCCGAAAGCCTGGGCCCTACCGAGCCATTGGCGAGACACAAGGTATGCTTCATCGCCCTCCTTTATGGGCGTCTCGGCGAAAGCGTTGACAAGGGTCTCGATGGTTTTAACCTGTTGGTCGAGCGGAGGAATGTCTGTTCTTGGAGTCAGCACAAAAGTATTGAGCGTATGTCCAGGCTAAGTCGGCATTACCAGTACGCAGAGGTAGCTCCGGCTTCTTCGTGTCAGCCACGGGCATCTGGGGTTCCTCGATCCCATTTTGGGCCTGCCCTCCGCTCGACCCCTCTGCCGTTTCCGTCCTCTGGGAGTCCACAACTGTAGTCATATCCACATCCTCCCTCACGTCCGAAGCATCTTGTTCCGGTTCCATGCTGGATGCCCGGCGCTTGAGAGGGGAGGACGAACGCTGGGGGGAATCGGCGGCGCCCCCCATTAAGGCTCGGCGGACAGATTGGTGGACTGGTGACGGGTCTCTCGTGGCTCCGTAATCCGGCAGATGCGAGGTCAAACCGGCGTCAAGGAGGTCGGGATTCCGGTCGAAATCGATCGATAGGTCGGTCGAGGCAGCACAGGGGGAGCTCGCCACGGAAGACGGGGAGTCGGCAAAAGAGGCGCCCTGGCTCTGCAGGCGGGGTGGGACGCCCGAAGCGGGGAGAGAGTCGGCACGTAAGTAGGTAGGTGTGCTTAAATCGGAGGGGGAGGCGGCAGAGAAAGAAAAGGTGGGATCGGTATCGTCTTCGGTGGAGGGCAGCACCAAGTCCTCGAACTTGTCGTCCTCCCTAGTCGACTGTCGAGTAATCCTCCGTTTCTTTTGGGAAGACGTGGTGAAGGCGAGCTGCCTACGCAGCTCGAGGAATGCCTGGTGGCTAAGCGAGGGTGAGAAGGTGCACGAAAGGCGGCAACGGCGAAGAAGGAGCAAGAAGAAGCCGGAAGAAGAGGTGGCCAGGTGCTGCTGGTCACGGCGTTGGGAGGGGACAGTCGCAGTCGTGGGCGGGCTGACGGCAACGGTAACGGAACGGTAACAACGGAGGGTGCAATGGGGCGAACGGCCGGTGCATCAGCGACCCAGGACCAACAAGGCGATCCAGAGTTAGAGGTAAGCGGCAAAGTGAGGCGTCGGCATGCCCAGGCGCATTTGCTCCCGATTTTGTTGACAATTTTATTTAAATGCTCCAAGAGTCTCTTGAATGAATGTGACACCCAACTCTTGAAAAGCAAGCCTGTGCAACGTGAACATGCGGCCACCAAAAAGCAACTGTTGCACAGTTTTAAACCCGGCTTTTTTTTCCGGCGAGGGAAAGCGAAGGCCGTGTTAGCATCAACGCTTTCCCACGGTATTCTTGGCACTAAGCGGGTTTGCTGGTGGAGACAAGGCTTGACCGCACTCAGAGTCTCAGTATAAGGTAACCGCTTTCTGTTTCCGCTTTCTGTTAACTAAGGGAAACGGTCTGACGCCCTTCTTAACTAAGATGATAAATAACAAAAAAAAAACAAAAAAAAACACAAACGAACTTCTCAAAGATAAACGCACCCCGGAATAAGACAGACAAACACAGCAGGTTACATATGGGGAACTTGAGAGTCGCCTGAGTTATTCCCCAGTTTCCCATCTTCAACCCTGCCCCACCTCACCCGGTACCTGACACTCTCGCACTGTGAGCGACGGTATGGGTTTTGCCCGTCCTTCCTGGCCCTGGAAAGCTCAAACTTCAATTCCCTGCCCCGCCTTGCCACAGCCTCGTAATGACCCCTCCAGCTGTTGCCTGGCTTTGAGTGACCATCAGCTTCCATCAAAACTAGGTAGGGACATGATGTTACACCATCAGGCCATGTTTACTTTGTGCCCACTGGGGAGTTGTGAGAGTGATAGTTGGAGCCCAAGTTGTTCTGTGCAGGTACCTGAAGCCCAACCAACCGCAAGCATCAATTAATTAAGTAGTTAGTTCTCTCTTAGTTGCTTCTAAATGCATACGCTGCAGGGGCATAAGCAAGCAAATCCTTAATCTCTCTATCTCGTCTCACTTTCCTCCCCTCTATGAGTTGACTTTTCAACATGCGCTACCTATTTTCCTAAACCCCGCCCCCCCCCCCCTCCTCCCCCCTCTCCTCATGCAGCATCCCGTTTCCCCAACATGACTTCCTAGCCTTGACGTAGGGTGCAATCAGAGCTTTGCACCATGATCCTCATATTCGCTGAGATCCCTCAGAGGCTTGGCCCCGCTGCTAGCGGGAAGACTCGCCCTGAAAGACCGCACGTCATCAATGAAGACTGGCGTTGTCCCGTTCGACGAAGGCGGTTCCGCATCCTTAACGACATCGTTTCCGGGCCCATGCTCAGCGTGGATCTTTTTCCACGCCTCGGCCGCCACGTCAATCTTGCCTTCCGGCACCTTCAGGTCGTGGAGGAGGTAGTCCCGGAGGCCTGCCACCTCCTTGTCAACGTCGTGGTCGGCCGCACTCAACCGGGCCTGGAGATCAGCAGCGGCCTTGCCAGCAGCCTTCGAGTCAAGCTCTAGCGTCTTGATGAGTTCTGAGATCTCCTTCGTTGACACGTCGCTCTTGGCCTGGGCTTCGAGGTAAACAGCAAGCTTCGCCCTCGATGGCGAGTTAGGGTGGATGTACTGGTTGAAGAACTCGATCATGTCCGTCTTGGTTAGCGGCTTTATGTGCTCTGCATCCTGAGGAGCTATAGCAAAATGGATGATCAGTCTCACGAACACGGCCTACCAAGAAGGGACAGGGGGGGGAGCTTACCGTTATCAAAGGCATAGAACTCGGAGTGGATATGAGTCCAGTGCCTGTTGCTTTCTTGCTCCATATACTTGAGTCTCTCCAAACGCTTGTCGATGATGCTGCGCTTGTTGCTCTCGAACTCGGTGTCGCTCATTTCTTCGAGGGTCGTGGCCACTGTCTTCAGAAACTCCTCGATTCGGGTTTCTAGATACGGTGCCGTCTTCTCGCTCTGAATGACAAAGTAGAACCCATACTGCGTGACGCTGGTCCAGGTGCCCGAGTAGACAATGTAGCCGAGTTGTTCCTTGGTGCGAAGTTGGTTGAAGCATGGCTCGTGGACGATCTGGTCGAGCAACAGCACCTTGGCTCGGACGTTGTAATCCCCCCTGTACCCTGCATGGAGGAAGTATTGGATGCAATGGTTGACATTGGCAGGATCCTTGAGTTTCTTCTTCCAGATGTAGTTGGATCCGGGCGGGAGCATCAACCCACGGCGAATCTTCCACTGCGCTTGTGGGAGAACCCGAGGCTTCAACGTCGACTCGACCATGTCTGTCAGCTTGAGTGCGTCTTCTTTGTAGATGTTTCCGTGGGCGAGGATCTCCATGTGCATCTGGGCCAGTAGCTCCTTCTGAAAGACGCGGAGGGCATCTGGTGTGATATGAGGCAGTTCGGCCTCGAGTTCCTCGACCACATAACCCTGGTCGATAGTCAACCAGGACATGTAATCGCCGATCTGGGTCCAGGGTGCGGCGAGTTCCCAGTTCCGGTACCCTCTGCTGATGCGTTCTTTGATGATGGCGAATCGGTCATCGCGAATCTCAAGGTCGCGTGTGGTGATAAGGACATGCTGCAGGAGGACTGCCAACTTGTCGTTATAACCAGAGATCTCGATGTACAAGCCCCGCGAGTCGAGCGTCACAGTATACTCCAAGCCGGCCAGCTCAGCGTCGTAAGAGTACTCTTCCAGGGCATCCTTGATTAGGTCTGTAAAGAGACGTGACTTCACCCGGCCCGCCGCCGAGCCGGTGGCCACCGGGCTCCTGCAGCTGATGATCAGTGTTGCTTTCGGGACCCAAAAGGTGTCGTCCTTCTTGAACCAAGTCCGGACGTGAGAGTCGTTTCGGACAATACGTGGGGCAAGGGCGGGCTCCTTAACGCCCTTCTTCTCAACCTCCAACTTGGTCGGCACGAACTCGTTTGCGTGCGGAAGACGGAGCTTGGCCGTTCGGTTCTTAGGCCCACTGGCTGCCGCCTTCTTGATCTCTTCCCTAAGCTCGGTCGGGATAGGTTGGCACGTGTATTCCGTGCCATACCATTTCTCCTTGTTCTCCCATGTTCCAGGGAAATCGCGGGAGACGATCGTCATGCGGAAGTTGTCCGGGCGCAGGCAGTCGAGACCTTCCTTGATCAAGCTGGGGTCGAACTTGCGTAGTAGGCTATACCCGCTCAGCAGATACTCCCTCGGCAGTGGCTTCTGCATGAATGAGCTGAGCTTGCTTGTGAAGCGGTATGACTGCGTCTTCTCCTTGAACCTAAAGTTGACTTCGGATAGGCCCTTTTGTTCTTCAAATATCCACTCCTGCGGTTCCGTTTCGCGTAGGAGAGCAATGTATTCAAAAACAACCTTCACGACCTCCTTGTAGTTTTTGAGACCCTATTTTGGTGTTAGTAAACATTGTTTAGCGTATCCGAAAAAGGTTGCCGCGGGGGGGGGGGGGGGGGGGGTGTCACACCTCCTCTGTTAACGTTATTTGGGATTTCAAAACCTCTGGGGTGCGCGGGGTGAAAGGGCCTGCTCCTGCATACAGGCCGTTCGCCCAGCCTTTCGACTTGATGTACGACATGATGCTCCCAGGGCCCTCGTGGCCAATGAGATGACTGATATATCGGCTGGGTTGCGAGTCGTAGAGGTGGTCCTGCTCGATGAAAGGGAACGTAAGGGTAAGGTCCCGCGTGTCCATGACGGGCTTCGCAAAGATCTGGGTCCCTAGTTGCTCCTTGGTGAAGGGCACTTCTGTCTCCCACTTGTTAGGCGCAAGGTTCTTGTTTTTGACGGACGAGAAGTGCTCGATGACCCAAGCCTGTAAAACATCCAAGGGCTCCCGGCCAAGAACACAAAGCTTCATCCGGTTGGCCGAGTAGTGCTTCTCATAGAACTCGATAAACTTGTCGCGGACGTTGATTCCCTCGGCCTCGGGGACAGTCTTCAGGGTTTCCAGGTTGCCGGTAGAGAAATGGCAAAACGGGTGCTTGGGGGTTTGACAACGACTTCTTGAGCTGATGCAGACGCCATTGGTCGCTTTGCAAGTTCTTCTTGTTCTCCGAGTCCACGGCCCGGAGCTCGCGGTCCAGCGTGCTCTCAAGAAACAAGGGTTCGATGAAGAACTGGGCAAAGCGGTCTAGGGCACCCAGCAGTGGCGAAGGGTTCGTCGCCGATGGCTCCTCTTCGTTGCTGGGTTTGGCAGACACCTCAAAGTGGTAGTTTGTAGACGTTGCTGCTGTATAGGCGTTGGTCAACCCGGAATGGGCTGATATGTACTGATGGTACGCATTTTCCACCGGGTACTTCTTGTTGCCCATGAAGAGGAGCTCCACGCCAGAGTTAGCGTCGAAACCAACCCAACGTTTTCCAACAAAGGGGTACTTACATGCTCGACGGCGTGGGCCATTCCTGGCATATCATCCTCGTCGCTGAAGCTCCCAACATTGACATCCATGGCCGCGCTGGCCTTGTCTGTCTTGGGATCGTGGACTATGAGGGCTTCGAGCTGATTTGGAAGGCAGATGACCCGGTACGACCGGTCATCCAGAGACGGCTTCTCCAGGCGGTCTGTAACAAGCACAACCTCGCCGTTGACCGGGGGGTCCGCCGAGGACTGGGGAGCTGGAGGCCGGGGGAGCCATGATAGAGTGCCGGTGTCGACTTTTTGGGGTGGGAATTAGTGGGTAGATGGTGATGCTGGGGAAGAGAGTGAGTGCAGTTCGTTTCCAGGTAAAGAGAGCGGTCTGAATGACCGGTCGACGGCGAAAGATAGGCCAGGAAACAACAGCAAAGTCCTTTCGGATCGGTACCAGTAATAAAGGCACAAGCACTGTTGGTGGGGTTGGGGCAAGTGGGCGAGACCAGGTTGGGCGAGAGGCGGCGATGACGGCGCAGCAGCGGCAACAACAGCCAGTAAAGATGCCCTTGTCTGTGCGACGGTGTGGGGAATGGATGCAGCGCTAGGAGGCGAGAAGAGAGGGTCAGTTACCGACGAGTTGGATTCCAGAAGCCGGCTGGGTCGAGTCGCACCCGGTGGGACGGGGAGCTAACTACTAGTGGTGTGGGTGGTGGCTTGTTCGCCCTAGTTATGGGTCCTCGTGGTCGAATCTGTTCCACCCAAGCGAGGTAGGCGAGGTAGGGCAAGAAGGAACGAGGATTTTGGTAGCGACCACGTAACGGCGCAGTGGGAGACGGAGCTTCACACAAGACAAGAGAGAGACTCCGATGCGTTCATCGGTGGTACTTTGTGCACAGTAGGGCCCCGACTGCTTGGGGGGAGGGATTGGAAATCTGATGCTGGGAATCCCCGGCGAGCAGGGGCTACAGGGCTCTTTATATGCGCAGGCTGACGCAGAATTTGTTGAGTACCTGGATGGCTAGGTGCAGGAGCGATGGCAACGATAGGTCACCGTCATTTTGCACAACTGCATCTGGTCCTCGGGGACCCGCAGAGGCAACGAGCCGCTCAGCTCGTCGATTCAACAACAGGACCATCAATAATGCGCGGTCAATTAAGGGTGTGGGAAAGGGAAAGACCTAAACTAAGGCGGCATTGAAGCTATGATTTTCAGCGCGGCAATATCGACAGGGGTGGGGGCGGGAGGAGGAAAGCCGGGGGGTCGGATCTGTCTGTATTTGATCGTAAGCCTGAAAAATACCGAGTGACATTGTTCAAGAGCGCAAAAACTTACTGTGATAGAAGTTACAAAGTACTTCATGTCCGCCAAGTAAAGTGCCCATATGCTCTACGTCTGGGGATGTATGTTTGAGAGAACCTGTACACCCCGATTGAAGTGCAAGAGACTTCCGTCGTGGCATCAATCTGTTCTCGGCTTCCCCGCCAAGCGGATCGATCCACCCCATGGGCCAAAAAAGCCGAACTCCAAGTGTAGGCGCCGACAACAAGAGGAACCAACCTAAAGAAAACATTCGGAAGGCCAAAGTCTACATTTTTATTTTTTATTATTTATTTATTTTGGGCTGGGGTTCTTTTATTTAGTTCCTTTTGCTCGGGTTTCTTTGCCTGTTTTCTTTTTTTTGGTTTCCTTTATTTCTTTCTCTTTGGCTTTTTTGGCCAGAGTGCCATCGTGATCATATCAGAGAGCAGAACCGCAAGAGCCAATGTAGGACCAGAAGAACTTCGATTGGCACATCAATGTGCAATGTGAGGAGAACGCGTGGTAAGACTGCCGAGGCGCACACAAGCTGCCAGGCTACAGCATTGTTACGAAAACAAAATGCGAGAGGTAGGCGCAATGGAAAGGAAGGAGTCTCCGCAGGCAATATGTCGGTCATCACCATCAGGCCCACGGTCCGGCGCTAAGGAAAACAAATTGAGAGAAGAGAGATGAAGGGAGAAAGGACGGCGCTTGCGTTCATCGCTCACCGGCTACCCGGTGCATCGCTTCTCTATACTGCGCAGGATCGTACATACAACACGATGGAGTTGCTGTGCCTGTAATTAAGGCTTAGGCGGCCAGAAAAGCGGCCAGAAAAGCGGCCGGCCGGCGGCTCCACGGTTCCAGGTTTCTCAATACAGCCCACTCGGGACGGGAATATCAGGTAAGTGCCTACCACTCAGGTGGAAGTGGTAATCCATGGCTATTTTAGCTCATACGCAAAATAATGGAACGCGATACTCAGGCACGTTAGGCCGCAGGCTGCTGCATGTGCTACATGCAAGGCCGCTTTTCAGGCAACCTGTTTCATTTGACATGCAGCACCGTTAGCAGACCTAAGGCAAGTACCTGACTGCATTCGGGGAGGTACCTTAGGTACATCGAGGAAAGCGCATACCACAGCTTCCCAGGTTGCTCCTGACTGCACCAAACCAAGAGGAACCGACCACATATCATCGACCTAACCCTAAGCAAATATTGAAACCTCCTCCCGCAGAGAGCAAAGCCTCAGTCCTCTTCCCGGCTTCCGACGTTACAAAACTCTGCCTTCCGCCAACGCCTCCCCACCTGCCGTCTTACGTTGTTCAGTCATCAACGCACGAAAAAGCGAGCATCTGCCTGGGTCGGAAACGGCTCGTGACCTCGACTGAACGTGTGTCGCGATTCATACGGCAAAACTCAGCCATTGGTCGGTTCAGACAGCCCGACTGGTGGAACTCCGTCCAGAGGCTATGCAGCAACGTCTCATCCCAAGTGCATGTCAACCCGAAGAGATAGATTGGGTACAGTCGGTCCCCCAAGGGAAAGTCCTCCCCCGGTGTTCCAAATTGAGGGCTGTGACGAGAGTTGCGTGCAGGAGCTGCGCGGGCGGGCGCACCACCCGGGCCGGTTCTTGTGTCCCGTCATCGAATCTACAGAATCACATCGTTTATCACGGTTGGCACCCGGCAGCGATGTGGTTCTCTTCGACGCAACTCCAGCTAACTCTCCGTCGACCGGGAAAATGATTGCTCGTGGACTGTGCCGCAAGTGGATACGTACCTACATATCGTTACACCCGACATCAACTGCGGCACAAGCCCGGCCGCCACCATACACAGTACGCCCCCAACTCCAGTAAATGTCGCCCTTGGATCGACAACGCCATCAAGGCCCGCCAGCCGCGGAGGCGATTGCCGTGCCTGATTCACCGGTTCATAAAGCGTCCATGGGGGGGTTACCTTAGTTCCTCCGCCGCTATACACCATCCTCACGGTCTGGCCGGGTACAGGTTTCCTCTCTTGCCGTAATCGGGTTGTCTCACCGGATCAAAGGAACTACCAGGCACCGAAATCGAGGTGAAACAGCTCGAGGGGCAACCCGGACGTCTTGCATCAGCGCAACAGGGGCACCGCCAAACGTCATGATCCGGCGGTGCTGAAATCTGACGTTGACGTTTGCTGGCAGAGCAAAACACATGATATTGCGACTCATGCGACCGTTGTGGTGTCCACGGTGCGGCTAACTCGCAACCAGCCGCGATGCGACAGTGATGAGCGAGCCGAACCAAATATGGCTCAAAGCCGGGTCGCACCCGGATGATGTCCCTTCTCTCCCGCCCTTCCATCGGCTTCTCGGTGAACCTTGGCTCTGGGGCACGGACGACGGGTCAGGGGTTGCAGAGGGTTCAGCCCGCATGCGGCCTGGCCGACGACGTCGGTTTATGCACGTCGATGTCTGTGGAGACCCGATCCAAACCTGCGATCGCCACAGAAGCAACCACCCACACACACACACACCATCTTGTCACGACACCGCAAACGCGGAAATGCCGGCCTCGCGACTCCAATTTGGTGGGCTGCTCTAGCTATGCCTGAAATGGTACTTGGAGGCCGAGAGCATTGCGCGCACGCGCCTACGACTAGGGCTCTTGCTATCCACCAGACCCAGATGCACAGGAGATCATCTTGATGCCGACAGCTCGTCGGTCATGGCCGAGCTGCAGAGCCAAGGGGCGATCCGGCCCGATGTCGAATTATCCCCCTTCGTGATATGCAACGACTAGTCTGGGGAAAGGGATGATTTTGCGAATCTCCCGGTCCCGGTATTTTTCCATTCTCAAGATAACGGCACGGCCGTGGCGTTGAAGCAAGCCGAAAGCGTCAACCCAGCCATCCCAAAACGGCGAAGCTCGGTCCCGCGGACCACCATGTTGGAATTCCCATATAACCTCAGCCCGGTTCAACAGACTTTACCCGGGATGTCAGAACACGGCACGGCCGGCTAGCCCGTCCTCGATGGCGGAGCGGAGAGTCCCAGCCATCGCTACCCGTGCGGTTCAACACCCGGGGGCGGCGGAAAAAGGGGCAACCTGCATGCAGCCGTTTCTGCCTGGGGCTCTGGTATAAAATTCAAACGTCTCCTCTCCTTCCTTGTCTTAACCACCCCCACCCCACCGATCATAATGGCGTAACCCACGGGTTTCGCGGGCTCCGAAACTGGCTAACTCCGCTTATTGACAGAGACAACAGGGCTACTTCCTGTCCACATTCAGGCTCGGCGCGAGGAGCCGGGCCTCGAATATTTGGAGTCAGGGGCTAATGGCGGTTCCTTCAGCCGTGCTCATGCATGCCTCATCACACATCCCTTTGTCCTGCGGTCGCCCGGTCTACCGGCATAGATGCGCGCTCGCTGCGGGCAAGGGACGGTGATCGGCTCTTTGTGGTTTCGTCCTTGCCTAGAGTCTGGACGGAAGACTTGGCTCGAGAGCGAGAATTTATGATCATGGTGGTTGCCACTTCGGAAACATGCAGGTCTGGTGTTGAAAAACTTTGTATTCGTTCGACGGAGCAGTCGTCTCAAACCGCCGCAGTTTCTTGTCACTAGACCGGGTATTGTGAGAGCTGCCGCTTGTAATAACTCAACACTAGGCTATATCCGGAGCCCACTTGATGAGACTGTCGTACCCTAGCAAGCGTCCAAATACGAGACAGGCTTCAGTCAGGAAGCGTGACCACTTGGGAAAAAGGATGGAAATCAGGCATGAAGGATGATCAGCGGGGGGGTGAGGGGCGGTCCTCGGGAAAGACCGAGTGAAAGCCAAGTTCGAGTCAAGGACGAGTGAGCATGCCTGCAGAGGTCCGCCTTCAGCGCTTCTTGTTTGGGCAATCGGCAACCTTGTGGCCAGGCTTCCCACACCCGTGACAAGATATAGCAGGAGAGGGCCGTTGAAACGCCTGCGAACCTGCGGACGAGATCGAGGTCAGTTGGTTCAACTTGATCTCCTTCTTCCGCCTCTTTCCGGCAAGCTGCTGCGCCTTCCTGCGCTCCTCTTCTCGTCTGCCCGAGGCGCTAGACCTCGCGCGCCTGCGCTCTGCGTCGCCGACGGTACTCGTCCGGCCGCGGCTCGGCTCTGCGCGTGCTGGCGACGACTTTTCGTCGTCGTCGGAAACCTCTCCTGAGCCCGAGCTAGATCCGGAATCAGAGTCACTGTTACCGCTTTCGTTGTTCTCCTTCTTGATAGCCTGTAAATCTTGTTAACATACATAACCTCAAGGATTGGATCCCTCACACTAGAATTCAACCTACCTTTGACTTTTTCATGTTGAACCTTTGAAACTGCGGCTGGGCAGGCGCGCTGCCCAGATCGAACGGGTCATCGTCCTTGCTCGACGCGCCCGCGTAGTCAATCTGAGCAAACCCGACTTCGACAACATTCAGCAGCGGCCGGGCCGTCCTCGGAGGCAGGCTCGCGGCGCCTTCTAGCACCCAGTGCGAGTCACCCAGCTCAGCAGCGCGCTTCTCGATCGCCGCCCGGTTCCTCTTCTCCTCCTCTTCCACGGCCGACTTCATCGCCTGCTGGTCGAAGAGCGGAGTCGCGGGCGAGCTGGCGGCCGAGGGCGCGTGTGCCGTCTTGCGCCGCTTGGCCGAGCCGTCGTCGCTCCGCGGGGTCCTGGGCGAGCTGGCCTCGGGTGTGTCCGTCGCCGTCGCCGCCGCCGCTGCTGCTGCTGCGGCACCCCTTTGCATGAACTTCATCGTCATCAGACGCGAAGACATGGTCTTGGGTGTCGATTGTTTTGCCATCCCTGGCATTCCTGATCCTGGTGTCGGGGCCATGTTTGTCGGTCGATCGGGACCGCGGGCGGGGAAAGTAGTTGAAAGAAGGTCTGCGGGTTTCTGAATGTTGGGTTAGTAGATCACTTCGCAAATCTATGCTACGACTTTCTTCCAACGGTTTGTCGTTCCCAACTTGGCCGCTTTCCCTCCCTTGCTTGGAAAGCAAAATATCAAACGACGCGAACGGACTCCAAAAAAGAAGCGAGGAACGGCAAGTTTGCCAAGGCGCCAAGACCATTACGACCACCCGCTTCCAAGCTCCGAAAATCAGCCGGCGCCGCCGCCCGGAACTCCACTGCAAGCTTCCAGCGGCCGGAGCCAATTCAATCGAGCCATTGAAGCGAACCTGCAATTGACGCTCCCCGGGGCTCGTCCCGCAAACCACCACAATCACCACACCCAAATAACACCAAAACCTCCACCTACACCAAAAATGTACGCCCTCACGCCCGAGCGGGGCGTAGGCGCCACCGCCGACCGGTTCCCTTCCCCGGGCACCGGCACCACCAGGGTTTCGGCAACAGTTGCAGCAGCAGCGTTCAGCCACCCCCGCCCGCCCAGAGCCCAGACCCATAGCCAGAGGCCAGAACCAGGAAACCGCCCGCCCCCGCCGGCCCCGGCCTCGAAATACCGCGCCACAGGTCGTGGAGGGGGGGACCCGTCCCGACCGCTGTCGCCCAGCAGTCGCCTAATCGCGCCCGAGGTCTGGTCCCCGCTCGCAGCACCCGCGCGCGGCGGCCGATGGTGGGGCCGCCGTTTGAGCAGACGGGATTTTGAGTTGCAGGGGCGTTTTTTTTTTTTTTTTTTGCGTACTTTTTTTTGGGGGGGGGGAAGGGGGGGTGGTTGAGTATATGGGGGGTTGTTATGGCTGGGGGTTGTGGTGGGTGGGGTGAGGGGCGGCTAGCTGGGTTGAGGTTGGGATTGGGATTGGGAGGGTTGGTTGTGGTGTTTGGAATGAGGCAGCGAGCTGACTTGTGGCGATATTCGTGAATACAGCCCCGGCCGTACGCCGCCATTGAGCTCATCCACCAGCAGCCTGTGCGGTGGACGCACGACCGCATCGTCGCGTGCGACGGCGGTGGTGGCCCCGAGGGTCACCCCAAGATCTTCATCAACACGGACAAGCCTGAGATTACGCCGTGCGGGTACTGCGGGCTGCCTTTTGTAAGTCTTTTGTTCTTACTTTCTGGGTGCCGCCTTTTTCTGGGTAAATGGTATGGGTTGCTGACATGGTTGGAAATCACAGGCGAACGAGCACCACAGGCAACACCTCGAGTCTCTGCCGGAGACGTCGTATCCGCTGTCGGGTTGAAAAGGCTGTGGCAAAAGGGGTGGCATGGAAATGAGACTGGGTTTCGGTGACGTTGTACATATGTATCGGGGCGAATAGATGGAAGTGTCTCTAATCCACCTGGCATACGAAACAATCGAGGCGTGCAGAGTGGGGTTGAATGACGGACGCATGTTATAGCACGCAGGGGAATATGGAGATATTGGTCCTGCGTTAGGCGTCACGCTTGTTTTGAAGGCGGCTTGGGAGCTCATGGTGGGCTTGTTGTCGCCCAGCATTGGTAGACCACTCACCCCCCCTCATCTCCGGCCTATTTTTAACGAATAACTGATGGCAAGATGTCAAGCCCTACTATTGCTCTGACCGACTTCATTTCTCAGCAAACCTCGGCAAAATACAAAACAAAGTACACAATGTCTTTTTCTCTCCCGCCCTTAGACCCTATCAACAACCGCTAGCGTTTCGACTGTTATCACATTTTCAGGAAACGTGTGTGACGAGCATCTTTATTTTCCCTCACTCAATCGATTACGCCCAATGACAGTCCCATTGATAACGCCAGGATGAAAATGGTCCATCCTGTCTGTGAGTGCTTGTTCCTCGCAGAGATGAACACGAGCATCCCCAAACGTCGTGGGATAATCCCAAGGCTTGGTAAAGTTTCTGTGAACCCGCAGGCCGCGTCAGTCAGTGCCCCGCCGTCAATGATGATGTCTCTGTTCCTAAATGGAGTACGAGAAGGACGGGAAGGGTGAGGGACAACGTACTCGTCATCGCGGTAGCGGTGCGCCAGTTCGAGGGTGAAGTTGCCCGGGTGCCAGAAGCCCGGCACGGCGACCTTGAAATAGGTGGCGTCGTCGTTGATCCAGCACGAGCGGTATTCGGCGACGGGGTTGCTGCCGTCTGAGTCGGCTTGGTGCTTGGTCACGCCGTCCCACGCCCACGACGTCTGGCAGTGGCCTGACGTCACGCTATTCTGTCGCACAGAGTTGGGGTCGGACCAAGCGACTGACGCGGTCAGTTTTGTCTTTTGGTTATTCGCGCAGTTTTTGGTTTGGGGAAAGGGGGAGGGTGTGTTTGTTCCACCTCTCTTTGGCTCTCTTACATGTCAGGTTGCAGGAGTAGTCGACCGTTGGGTTAAAACGGGTGCAGAGGATGTGGAGGTTCGTGACTTTGAATGGGGCAAAGTTAAATTGAGCCGCGTCTATCATCATGGACCTGTCCGCGATTTGGTTGCCGATGTCGTAGAGTATACGGTTTGGAGAGGGGTGGTGAGGGTGGTGGTGAGGGGACGTAGCAACCAAGGGGAGGACCATGAGGTAAATGGTAAGAACCCAAAACATTTGGGTGAGTGAGCGCATAGTTGTGGGCGCTATGGTGTGAGGTAGTGTAAAGAGTGGGAAATTTGAAGGGCACGCAGATGGTCCCTGTCGGATTGCTTGACGGCGAAAGGGGTTGAAAGGGGCAGGGAGTGGCATGATATATTCCAGAGAACCACCGTCAGGGTGCTCTAAGTTTCCCGGTCGGGGAGATGGCACTCGTGGAATGGCCCAGAAGTTCCTGTCGTGATACTAACACACATACTAGTTGAAACCGTCCACAAGTTTGACTTTGGGCGAGAGGGTACAGGTTTAGGCCGCGGACGATGCTTCTAGATTCTAGAGAGTTTGTCTCACTGCCTTCTACTTGGTTTATGACAGTTTCAACGCCGTGGGCTGACCAGACCCAACAACCCACAGTGGGCCTGGGTTTCGGAAGTCATCGGGGTCGAGGTGTATGTAGTCTTTCACGTTGTCAAGGTGAATTCGTCTTACAGGACTTGTTGTACCCGATTCCGCCTCGATGAAGTCATGCCCATCACAGCCTACGTAAACGGGGCACATCTCCCACCTTTTCTCTCGCATAGGGACTCGCATACCCAACCGTTTTTACATGTGGTTTTGCCCTCAGCAGTTGTTGTTACACGATCTCACACCCTTATCATCATCTCACCACCAGTCTTAGGCTCGCCACGCGGCTGTCGTCAGTGAGACGATTTAGGCAAACTGTGGTCCCAGAAACACAAACACTAGCCTATCAGATAGTTTACTTCGATTCGCCCACTAATCCATGGATCGAGATAGCAAGTTGCCAGTGTGGGGACACCATTTTTACCAGTTCAATGGTAAGATTGAGTGTCTCGGCCAAGCTGCGATACGTGCGAGGCGTGCGAGGCGAGCGCAGCGGATAACGGCTCGAAAGAGCACGAAGAAGGCATCTAGTTTCCAAGAGTACGTGTCATCAACCTCATCCGGGTCCGAGGTGAAAAGTCCTCATCGGCCGTGGTGTGGACAAGGCCAGGCTATGATGAAATCGGACGTTACGGTGATGGTGGCTCGAGGTGGGACAAAGAAGACGTTACACGATAAGGTTCCAGGTGCCTAGTAGACGGCAATGGGACAGGCCCCGACCGTTATGGGATTCTTGACCAAGGGTACCTGGTGGAGAAAGAGTTACACCGACCGATCCCTGGATCTCTCTCGCATCTGTCTCGGGCGTCATGCTGCTGTGGCTTGTCGGAGGTGAGTGTCTCTAAACCGAGACATGATCAACACGGAGATGAGTGGCCCCGGCTGTCTTTACACTAGTATATAGGAAGAGATCCGACGATGTGGAACGGGGCTAGAAATGTACACGCCAACCCCTATCTTGGTCACCTCGGCTCGAGTTTAGATCTAGCCGAGTTGACGGCCAAGTCTGGGCCGTAACGACTGCCTTTCCCTCTGAACCATGACGAGTAAAGACACCTCAACACGAAGCCAGGCTATAGTAGATCTCCGGGTTCCGGCTCTTGGTTCCCGGCTGCAACAGTGCGGCCCCTTTTCTAACCACTCGCCTCCCGCCGGCATTTGGGTCCCGCCCCCGAATCTTGCGGATCTGGGTGGCATCCAGGAACAAGGAACCGAGCTACTATGTCTTGGATGTAGGCATGGACGTACCTGCTTGCTGGGTAGGCAAGCAGGGTTCTGTGTCACCCTCGCAATTTCAGAAGCCGAAGAACGGACGCGTCTTTAAGGGGTTAGTTAAAGGGAGGGGGGGGAGGGTTGAACTGGCTGAGACATGTCAACGGTTCAACGGTCGACCCAACATGCACGATAAATTGAATTTGGCCTAACGCATGCTGAAAACAGGTTTTGTCCTCTCCGACGATAAGATTGTTGAATCGGTTGAGTCGTTAATTTTCATCAGCTCTATCGTATTCCTTGATTAT